ATTGACTTAATGATTCACTCTCAACCTTCCCCAGCTTCCTGTGTGGCGGGGAGGGGGTGGGGCAGAGCCCTGGCTCTCGGAGGATCCCAGGACCGGGGATGGGATTGGTTGGAATGAATGGAGAGCCATCTGGGCGCTCTGCTGCTTCTCTTGGTCCCATTCTGGCTTTGCCACAAAGAAAGGTCTCTCTGTGCCAGGAGGACACTGAGGATAACTAGGTCCAGCTGGAGTCCCAGATTCCAGATGTGGGAGGTAGTGCGGAAACAGGATCCTGACATCCCCTTCATTTCCCCTCCCCTGCCTAATGCCCTGGAGAAATTTTCCATCATAAACAAGTTATGCATTCCTGACCTTGGGTGACTCTCCCCTTCTCCCACAAGCAGTTTTCTTCTAGCATCACTATCTCCTCCATCCCCAATTTATGTCTGTGTGAGCATGTGAGCCTGTCCACACATATAAATCGTCATGTACTGATGCTGATCCTTGTGTTGTGTGCATGTTGCCTTGGAATGAGGGCGTGGGTAGGTGGGTAGGCTCACTGTGCTTGGGTGTAAATGTAAGGTTGATGGCAGGTGTGAAAGGCAGGTGTGGGAAAGCGATATGTCTTTGTTTGTAGAGGAGGTGTGTTTTATACCTCATCAGGAGGAGGTGTGTTTTATACCTCATCAGGAAGAGGTGTGCAATGCTGGAAGTTTCTCATGTGTTTAGACAGGAGTGGTGGGTGTAAAATAAAGCAACCTATAAACCCAATACAGCAAGAATGTCTATTTATAGCCCAGTTTGGGGCTGTTCTGTTATTTACATTCACACACATTCTTGATTTAAAATGCCCTTAGGTGGTCCTTGTTTGCTGTCTGTGTAAGGCTTGTTTCAGCTTTTCTTAAGAAATTCATATGTGGGATTTGAAGGAGTGTATGTGTCTCAAAAGCTTGCGGTGATCCAGCCAGTGTATGTATACTATATGTGCATTTTTAGTTCTGTGCTTTCATCTTTCATTTATCAAGATTAGTGAACAACTAGTACAAGCAAGGCACTCCACTAGGCTCTATGAAAGACACAAAGACATGTGTGACACAGCCTCTGATGGAAGAGGTCAGTCAGACATGTGCTCATCTTGTGGTGGTGTTCAGTTGCTCAGTCGTGTCCCACTCTTTGAGACCCCATGCACTGCAGCATGCCAGGCATCCCTGTCCTTCACCATCTCCTGGAGCTTGCTCAAACTCACGTCCATCGAGTCGGTGATGCCATGCAATCAATCTCATCTCATCCTCTATTGTCCCCTTCGCCTCCTGCCTTCAATCTTTGTGCACCAGGCATGATATGATCTGGTACGAAGCTCTGTGCCAGAGGCACTTCACATCCATGGAACAGAGCTTTGGTCCCTTCATCCTCACACTGTTAGCACCCCAACTCTCCATGCTTCCTGACTCTAATGTTACCCATTTTATTACTAAAGTCTGGTCATTTATGCTGGCAGTATCTCTTGAAGCCACCCCTTCTCTTGGTTTCCTGTGTCACAGCCCATTTCAAGCCCCTGTCTCCTTCTGCCGGAACCTCTCCAGTTGTACCGCCTCTGGCTCAGTGTCTCCTCATCCAGGGCATACTCATCCTACTCAGTTCCCAGCTTTGAACGTGCCCTCCTTTGATGTCATCCCGTGATCCACAAGCTCCATGGTCTATAGTCAAACAGTATCCCTTGGCCTGACAGCTAAGCTCTCACCACTAAGCTCTGCCTAGTTCCTTCCCGGCCATCGTCACTTTCCACTGTTGTCGAACCCAGATTCCTGTGCCTGATGCACAGTGAGGTCAAACAAACAGAAACGTCAGAGTTTGGGCAGAGAAAGGCTTATGGGAAGCACCAAGCAAGAACAACACCTCTCCACCAGAACTCCCCAGTGGTTTTCAGGGAAGAGTTTTTAAAGGCAAAATTTGGATCTTCAAGGGCTATGTCATTCTTTTAAAGATTGTGCACTGTCTCCTTCCCTCCTGTTTTATGATGAGGATGAGATGGTGCCAAAAGCTGCAAGTGCCCAGACAGAGCAATATAAGCAGAGGACCTAAGGTGAGAAACAGCTTTGTTTAATTCCTGGGAGCTAAAAGGCCGAGGCTCCGGGTGGCTGGAGCATAGCAGAAGAGGGAATGAATGGTTAAAATGAATTTGAAGAGGAAGAAATGAGATTTTGAAGATACTGTTAAGGAACAAAGTTCATGTTCACCAGCCCAAGGCACAGTGAGGCCACATAAACTGAAATGTCAGAGTCTGGAGAGAAAGGTTTATTGCAGGGCCGAGCAAAAACACGTGGCTCTACGCAAAAATCCCTGATAATTTTTTGGGGGAAAGTTTTTATAGGCAAAATTTGGGGTGAGGGCTGCGGGGTGTGTGACTTTCTTCTGATTGGTTGGTGGTGAGGTAACAGGACAGTGCTCCTGGAATCTTGTGCTCAGCTGGAAGTTGCCATCCTCCAACTGAATGGGGTCCTCACTTTCCTGTATAAGGAACTAAGATATACTGATATGTATATTCCTTGAAGGAGCTTCTCCAGTGGCTCAGTGGTAAAGAACCCACCTGCAGTGTAGGAGCCACAGGAGACACGGGCTCAATCCCTGGATCAGGAAAATCCCCTGGAGGAAGGCATGGCAACCCACTCCAGTATTCTTGCCTGGAGAATCCCATGGACAGAGGAGCCTGGGGGGCTACAATCCATGGGGTGCAAAGAGTCGGACAAGACTGAAGCGACTTAGCAGTCTTGTATATCCCACAAGGAAGAATCAGGACCTTGCTTTAACTGTAGTATTTTTTTCTTTTTTAATTGTTTGGCCACACCATGCAGGCATGCGGCATCTTCCCTGGACAGGGATCAAACTGATGCCCCCTGCAGTAGAAGCTCAGAGTCTTAAACCTCTGGACCCCTAGGGAAGCCCTGCACTGCTGTTTCTTGACTGCTCCTCCTCTGTTTCTGCACTCCCTTTCGTCCCTAATTAGTAACTGTTTGCATCTGCCCTTCGGAGCCCAGGGACGGTCTAAGAGGCTGAAGCCTTTTTCCTAGAAACAAGAAACAGGGGACACAGAAAGGTTTTGGTCCCCAGGAGGGCCCCACAGGGTCCTGCTGGGTTTCACCACCACTGCTTGACGGGAAGCTTATCCTGAGATTGTTTTTCTTGTGATTCCCCAAACACATCCTGTACTTTTCCAGCTCAAGGCCTCTGCTGATTCCATTCCCCTTCTCAGTCATCTTCCACATCTGACTTTGTGTCATCCCACCCACTGTTCAAGGTCATCTCAAATGCCATGCTTCCCTGTTGCCTTGTCTGATTGATTAGATACACAGGAACAGTTGCTCTGTTGGGTTCCCCTTAGACTTACTCTTCCATTTTCTTAGAACCTCATGTGCTTGCTTTATCTGGCTTAGCTCACTCACCAACACACATGCTGGAACCTACTCCAGTACTCAACAGTACCTTTTAACAGGGTGTCTGGCCCTGTTGGGGCTTCCCAGGTGGCACTAGTGGTAAAGAACCTGCCTGTCAATGCAGGAGACGTAAGAGATACAGATTCAATCCCTGGATTGGGAAGATCCCCTGTAGGAGGAAATGGCAACCCACTCCAGTATTTTTGCCTGGAGAATCCCATGGACAGAGGAGCCTGGCAGGCTGCAGTCCATAGGGTTGCAGAGTTGGACACGACTAAAGCAATTTAGTGCGCACACACACACACACTGGCCCTGTTGAATGCTCAAAAGATGTTAAATTCTGTGTCCACAGCAGCTGTCTCTAAAGCAGTTATGAAAATTTGTCCATTCTCTCTTGCATTATTATCATCACCACAATATTTGCATAATGTCTCACAGTTTAAATGTTCTTCATATAAACTTAAACCCAGGTGGCTGCTAACATCTTGCTTTTGTATTTTGTGGTCCTCTGCACCAGCCATGAATGAACATTTCTGCACATTGTGGGGTTGCCCCTGTGTAGTCTGCACTTTTGTTCTGTGCGTGTAACACACATGTTGATGGAGAACAGAATACACCACTCCAAAATGTGCTCCACTGTATTGTGAATTATTTGGAGCAATCAAGAGCCAGCAGAATCTCCCTTCACTGCTTAAATAACTGAGGTAGGGGGCCTGGTCCAGCGATAACATTCACCGGAAAAACTTACCTGCTCGGCAGGACAAACATCTTATTAGCAATCACCTGCTCTTTCCATCTTCCTGTGAGTTACCCACCCCCGCCTTCAAGCCCCAGGCCTCTTTCCCATTCCTTAGCTCAAGATGGCAGATAAGCTTCAATTGCCTGACTGCCTTTGAGGGCAAGTTTTGTTGGGCTCCTGTTAAGTATGCAATTACATTTGTTTTCTCCTGTTAATCTGTCCTAGGTCAATTTAATTATTGAACCAGCCAAAGAAACTAGAAGAAAAGGAGAAATGTTTCCATCTCTACAACATGGTGTGTGCATGCGCAAGCTAAAACAGGCAGACTTGTGTCTGTGTGTACTACTGTGTTCATTTCTCTTGGGCTTCTTGGCTGTTTCTTAATGACTTCCCTCCTAGGCTACTGTTTTCTGAGTCCCTACAAACGTGTGAATATGCACTGTAACTGTGGTTCCTAGACTCTGCTGGATCAGGATTGTAACAAGGGAGCCAGACTTCCTTATGTAAGCCTTCCAGCACGTCCCCAGAGATGGGGATTTGTGGCTGAACCGTCTCAAACTGTCTGTGGGCCCCTCTCCAGTTGCCACATGTCCTGACATGTGCCCGCAGTCTGGGATTTCACCCCCCTCCACTCACAACTCACACACTCACAACGCACACTTGGGGTGCCTACGGTTGGCACTGGCCAAGTCTCCGCCCCCTCCTTTGCTTAATCTTCGGAATTTCCAGCCGACCGTCCAACCTCTCCCAGCCCAGGGTGGAGTTGAGAAGGGCCCGCCCAGTTCTCGGGGTACATAACTAGCTCTGCGGGACTGCGGGGCCACTCGTCCTTCGGCTCAGCTCAGCGCACAATGTGTCACTCTCGCAGCTCCCTCCCCACCATGACCGTCCTGCGGGCTCCGACCCCGGTCTCCTCCACCAGCCAGGGACCCCGACGGGGCTCCGGTCCAGAGATCTTCACCTTCGACCCTCTCCCGGAGCCCGCGGTGGCCCCCGCCGCGCGCCCAAGCGCCACCCGCGGGCACCGAAAGCGCAGCCGTAGGGTCCTCTACCCACGAGTGGTGAGTGTCGCCGAAGTGGACAGCCCCGGGGGAAGAGCAGGGTGAATCACTGGACGCCAGGGCCCCGATCTGACCTGTTCTTTTTGTCACCTCCCCTCAGGTCCGGCGTCAGCTGCCAGTCGAGGATCCGAACCCTGCCAAAAGGCTGCTCTTTATCCTGCTGACCATCATCTTCTGCCAGATCCTAATGGCTGAAGACGGTGCGTCTGCACCCCTGGCCCCGGAGGACACCTCCAGCGCGCCGTCCCCCGCGCCCACCGCTGCAGCCCCGGTCTTCGAGCCTCTTAATCTGACCTCGGAGCCCTCGGACTACGCTTTGGATCTCAGCACTTTTCTCCAGCAACACCCGGCCGCCTTCTAACCGGGACTCCCCACATCCCCCCAAAGAACCTGAAAAACCAAGAAACACTGGGTGTACCTGGTGCGCGAGAGAGTATCCCAAACTGGGACTCGCGAGGCAACTCGCACTCAGAACACTACGGCGGAGACGCCAGTCCGAGCCTGGGAGAGACAGGAACCGGCACGCCGGGGCTAGGCCGGGTGGGGAAGGAGTGCGTCGTTAACTTATTTCTCATTGCTCCTAATAGTATTTATGTGTATTTATGTGTGTCCCCTAGGTGATGGAGGGGTGTGTATAATATTTATTTTAATTTATGCAGGAGTGCGAGATGTGCACCTTGCTGCAAATGCAGGTCTCTGGGTATTTATTGGGCTCTGTGGGATTGGTGGAGGCAAGCACCCAGAACTGAGGGAGGCCGGGAAAAGGGATGGAGGAAACCCGGGTCGAGATGGCGCCCGGGCTGGGAGTCAAGGACGGTGGTGGGTCGTAGTGACACTCTCAGTCCTCCAGCATCTCAACTCGTGAGTCTGTGAAGATTCGGGGAACCGTTGAGAATAAGGTCCCTGGCCTTCGATCTCCTCCAAGTTGCCTCCAAGAGGGTGGCTGCGGGGTCGGTGGGCTGTCAGGAGGCTGGGGTCGCCCCGTATGTTCTATGAACACAAATAAACTTGATTTACTGTCAGCAGTCATGTGAGTGTCTCTTTGCAAGCGGCGGTCCCCCACTCTCCTAAAGGCGCCAGGAGGAGGAGGAGGAGGAGCCGGCCGGAGAAGCCGCAGTCAAGTCCCCAGGCGGTGCTCCTCCCCGGGTCCCTGAGCCCCTCCTCCCGGAACCACTGATCCCAGCATCTTGTGACCGGATGCTGTCAGTCGTTGCCCAGTCTGCGGTTTTTCTCAGTTCACAAGGGGCAAGTCCGACGTGAGTCAATCTCCCTCTCCCCAGGTGCAGGACTCACGGAAGTCACGTCGCGCGAGGCGGGGCGTGAGGCGGCCTGGGCGGAACTTCCGGCCCCAGAAGGGCGGCTGAGTGGGGTCTCCTCCCCCTTCTCGGGGCCTCTTCTGCAGCTCTCGAGGGCTGCGGATCTGAGCTGGGCCTGCCGGGAAAGAGGCGGGTCGGACGCCCGAGGCCGGGGGCGGGGTGGAGAGGGTGGTCCTCCGCGGGGGGCGGGGTCGCGTCTGCAGTAGCAACAGGGTGTGGCTGGGCTGGGGGCGCGGGCCCAGCTCCCAGGGGGACCCTGCGCGGGCGGTACCTGCTAGACTCCCAGGTCCCCTGCGCAGCCCCGCCCTCCCTGGGACCCCGGCGCGGCCGCCGCCCGAGTCCGGGAAGGTAGGTGGGGGAGGGGAGATGGAATGGGTTGCAGAAGAACAGGGAGGGTAGCGCAAGGGTCTGGGGACCTCTGCGGGTTCGGAGAGCTTCATATCACTGAAGGTGGGGCGCGGCAAGCGGCTGAGAATCGCTGGCTATCTGCGAAATTTCACAGGAAAAGCCTTAGCGGATCCCGGGCTGCGGAAGAGCCTGAGGCCTCGGCGTCTGCAAGCTGGGCGGGACTGACTGGAAAGGGAAAGAGTTCTCTCCTGTGGACTGAGCGGTGCCCCTTCGCATCCGCAAAGGCTTTCTCTCCCCCTTCTCCAGCTCCAGCCTGAGCCATGTTTTTCACCTGTGGCCCAAATGAGGCCATGGTGGTCTCCGGTAAGTATTGTTTTCTGCTCAGCCAGTGAAACCCCCTGCAGAGGTCCGTTCAGAGGAAGTCCCTGCAGAGGTCTCTTCCCTCTCTCCCTACCAGCTCCCCAGCGCCAGACCTTCTGTCTACCCCACCCACGATGGCTGCATGCCACCCACTTGTGATTATTCCTTCCCTAGCCTTCAAGGCCTGGACTGCCCCGGCCCCTGTCAGCTTCCAGCTTTCCTCGTGGAGGTTGCTCCCATGCTCCCTTCCCAAGTTCTGTCTCCCATGTTACACCTCTACCGTGGCCACGGGCCACTACACCTCACTGCCCCCTCCCTTTTCAGGTTTCTGCCGGAGCCCCCCAGTCATGGTAGCTGGAGGCCGTGTCTTTGTCCTGCCCTGCATTCAGCAAATCCAGAGGTAGGTAGCAAGAAAACTGGGGAAAGGGAACCCCCATTTTCTCCTTTTCTTCCTTTTCATGCTGTCCACCCCTTCTCTTTCCCTTAGGATCTCACTCAACACACTGACCCTCAATGTCAAGAGTGAAAAGGTTTACACTCGCCATGGGGTCCCCATCTCAGTCACTGGCATTGCCCAGGTGAGGCTTTCAGAGCCTTTCCCCCAAAGCCCGCTCCCCAACCCAGCAACTTCTGTGTCCCCAGATGTTAAGAATCTTCCACGGCCTTCCCTACCTCTGCCTGTGGAGAAATTTCTCTGTGAGTCTCCACTTCTCCAGGGATCCCCAAGGCACCTGACTCTCCCTGCCTCTACTCTGGCTTCAGGAGGCCTTCCCCACACTCACCCCAACTCTGTTCTGGCTACAGGTGAAGATCCAGGGCCAGAACAAGGAGATGCTGGCTGCAGCCTGCCAGATGTTCCTGGGGAAGACAGAGGCAGAGATCGCCCACATTGCGCTGGAGACACTGGAGGGCCACCAGAGGGCTATCATGGCCCACATGACCGTGGAGGTGGGCCTGAGGGCAGGGAGAGATGGGGAAGGGATGCCAGAGTGCAAGGGGTCTAAGAACCCAGCTAGTCTGAGGAAGACAGTGCCCAGAGGATCTGAGCATGTCCCTTCCTTCTTCCTTCCATCCTGTTATCCCAGGAAATCTATAAGGACAGGCAGAAATTCTCAGAGCAGGTTTTCAAAGTGGCCTCCTCAGACCTGGTCAACATGGGCATCAGTGTGGTCAGCTACACCCTGAAGGACATTCATGACGATCAGGTAAACCTCAGCAGTTGGTCCTCCCTGCTTCCCTGCTCCCATCTGATAAACCTTCCCTCCTGAGGATTGTGACATCTGCATCTCTCCCACAGGACTATTTGCACTCCTTGGGGAAGGCTCGAACAGCTCAGGTCCAAAAAGATGCTCGGATTGGGGAAGCAGAAGCCAAAAGAGACGCCGGGATCCGGGTGAGAGAGCTGGGGGTTGCTTGGTCTCCGAGTGCTTTTTGTGGGTCGGGGAGGCTGGCGCGAGGGCCAGCGGAGCAGGGTTGGCAGAAGACGTAAATGAGGCCAGGCCCAGAGCGATGGAGGAGCTTGGTGGAGAGCAGGCTTTCTCCCCGGGGCCTCCTTCTTCCTACTCTGATGCCCTACCCAATCTCTGCATGAACAGGAGGCCAAAGCCAAGCAGGAAAAGGTGTCTGCTCAGTACCTGAGCGAGATCGAAATGGCCAAGGCACAGAGGGACTACGAACTGAAGAAGGCCGCATACGACATTGAAGTCAACACGCGCCGAGCACAGGCTGACCTGGCCTATCAACTTCAGGTCAGAGTCCCCATGCTGGCCCTGCAGCCAGGCTGGACTTCACCCTCTCCCCGTTGTCAGGCCACCACTCTCTCTCACATCCTGCTCTGATCCCCTTATTCTGACTCTCGGTTTCTGACCCAACTCCTCAATATGAGGAAGATTTAAAAGACCTGAATGTTTCAGCTGAAAAGCAAAGAAAAGGCCTAGAAAGGGGGTGTAGATAGGGCTGATCACGGGCTTGGGACAGGTTGTGTCCTGGGCAAGGGCACCTGGATGAGGGGTGAACCAGAGCTCAGATCAGCCTGTGTTCCACTACCCAAGCTGTGCATTGGGCTGAGGGAATGGGTCTGCATCTCCCCAGAGGAACGGGTGCCTTTTTCTCACGGCAGTCCTCCACAGGCTCCCAGCAGCCCTGGCAATCACAGAGGGTATGAGGAGGGGAAACGTGGACTTGGGCTCTGAATCCCACAAAGTGACCTGTGGGGGCCTTGATAGTGCAGCAAAGTGTAGTTGATCCTTATCATTTGCAGATCTTGTATTTGAGAATTTGCCTCAGTGCTAAAATGTTTTAAAGAGCTAATGCTAAATGAGCACTGGTTTAAATGCTAAAAGAGCACTGGTTTCCCTAGTGCTCTTTGTATTGATGACCATTTGCAGACATGCACAGAGTGGAGAAAAATTTGAGTTGCCTGATAATGAGCCTCTCAGTTGAGGTTGAACAACATATTTTTCCCTTCTTGTTTTAGCTCCTACTGTAAACAATGTCATTTTCACAGTATATTCACTGCTACATATTTTGCACTTTTGTGCTCTATGTTGGTGATTTCACAGTTCAAAATGCCCCCAAGTGTAGTGCTGAGTGCCATCCAGTGTTCCTAAGTCCAAGAAGACTTGATGTGCTTGAGGGAGAAAATACGTGTGTTAGATAAGCTTCTTTCAGGCATGAGTTATAGTGCTGTTGGATGTGAGTTCATTGTTAATGAATCAACAAATACATTACATATGGTGTCTTTACACAGAAATACATAAAACAAGGATATATAGGACTTCCCTGACAATCTAGTGGTTAATTAAGACTGTGCTTCCAGTGCATGGGTCGATCCCTGGTTGGGGAACTAAGATCCCACAATAAGTATTTGTTAATTCAATGTTTATGGCTACTTTATGAAAACTGGAACTACCATGAATAATGAGAATCAACTGTACTTTGAGACCTTTACCCAATATTATGAAATTCATTTTTGCCAAGGATTGGTGCAGGCTGAAAGCATTAAGGGCAACACATCTTCAGTTATGATATTAAATCCCTCGTGGCTTGATGGGTACCTGAGTGTGGCATAGTACTTTGCTGCTCAAAGTGTGGTCTGCCTCCCAGCAACAGCACATCCCTGGGGAGCTTGTTATAAATACAAAATCTGAGGCTCCAGCCCAACAGACCAAATCAGAATCTGTATTTTAACAAAATCTCTAGGTGATTCACGTACACATTGAAGTTTGAGAAGCATTGATTTAGTGAAAACCACCAGCTTGGGTGGGAATTTATCTTCTCAACATGGCTTTCCTTGTCTGCTAATCAAAGGATAGCCCAGTTTGGGTTCTGTTCAACTTTTTTTTTTTTTTCTGTTCAACTTTTATTAGTTCCTCGTTTTGTGTCAGACTTTGTGCTAGGTGCTGGAAAAATAAGGATTTATTCAACCGAGATCCTTTAGGTGCCTACTATATGCTAGGCATTGGAGGTGAGTATATATAAGTATGAAAGAAATAGAATAAAAGTCCTGCCCTCATGGAGCTTTACATTATAATACATGAAACAACAAATAAGCCAATAAATATCTTAATTGGCTTTAATTAAGTTGTTTAAGTGCTATGAAGGAAATAAATCAGTGGTATTCTGTTGGAGGGGTACTCTATTAGGTTGGGGGTGATCAGAGAAAGCTTCTATGAGGAAATGATAGATAAGATAACCCTGAAGATGAGAAAGAGCCAGCAATGTAAAGAGTTGCAAGCCAAGAACGTTCTAGTCCAGTGCTGTTCAAAGAGAACTTTCTGTGATGATGGAAATGCTATATATCTGTGCTGTGATGTTGAGCACTCATAATGAGGCTTGTGTGACGGAGGCACTGCATTTTAAATTTTTTTATTTTAGCTTACTTATATATGACAAGTGACTAGGTAGGGGACTTGCACATGCAAAGACTTTGATATAGGAAAGAGGGGGTGTGTCCCAGGAACACAAAGGAGGTTTCCGATCCAGCATGGCTGGTGTGCTGTGAGGGAACCAGATCTCCTAGGGTTTGGGGAGCCAGTATTCTTGCCTGGAGAATCCCCATGAACAGAGGAGCCTGGTGGGTTACAGTCCATGGGGTCGCAAAGAGTAGGACATGACTGAGCGACTAAACACACAACAGATGGAAACTTAGAAGAAAATTCAAAGCACAATGGGAGCCTATTGGAGAACTTCAGGAAGGGAAGTGCTCTGGTCTAATTTACATTTTTACAAAGATCGGTCCAGCTGCTGCATCGAGAATTGATTGTCAAAAGAGAACAGAGGAAGCAAGATGAATTAGAAGGTTTGTCAAAGCAGATGAATGGCATAAATGCAGCTAACTGCACTCCCTCTTAACATCTCACTAAATCCACATAGAGTAATTGGGGGAAAAAAAGTGGAATGAATAGGAACAGAAGGAACAAACCATAGCATCACTGTGGAAGCTGCAAAGTCGTGGCAACTGATGACTAAAGAAGCGTCTGAGATAGCTGAGCGCAAAGCTGCAGGGGAGAAAACAATGAAATGACCTGAGGCACAGAAGTTGTCAGCACCAGGGGCCTCTGGAGCTGGGATAAGTCGGTTGAAATAAGGAGAAACAGGTGAAAAGTGACTTCTTAGAGCTATCTGCCTCTGAGTGATGCTCCCTGTCCCAGTAACAGGCGTGAAGAGACTGCCTATTGAATGCTGAATACTGACCACTTCCCCAGCCCCTTATTCCACATGGCTCCCAGAACCCCCATATTCCAAAGAAGAGATCAGAAGACTGCTCTGGGGAACCTGACCAACCCTGAATCAGAGGTTCCTCAGCAGATGAACTACCCAGGTCACCCTAGAATGAAGCTCAAAGCCTCTGAGCCTCACCCACATACCCAGAGCTTCCTTCAGTGTTTCTGACCTTCCTCCCTGTGAGCAGACAAGCACAGACTCCCTGACATATGAAGGATCCTGCAACAAGAAGGAAAGGCCAAAACCATAAACAAGCAAAGCAGTTTGGAGGATATGTGCTATGCAGAGAGACGAAAGCTTTAAAAAAAGGTAATATCCTCAGTAAGATAAAAGAATAATTCATATCCAGCAAATCAGGACATAGAAGACAAAGAGCTTTGAGAAATTAATAAGGTGGCAGAAATGGAAAAAAATGGAAGAGAAATTCTAATAAACTTGTCAGAAGATAGAACAAAACAGATGGAAAAATTAGGAAAAAATATTAGAGGCCAGCCCAGGAGATGCAACAGAACAAAACGGAAGGAAATCATCAGTGGAAAAAATCAGACATGTTTATCTGACTTTCTAGATTGCAATGATCCACCAAGTACCTAACATGGTGGATGAAAAACATCTGCCTTGAAGCACATCACTGTGAAATTTCAGAACACCAAGGATGAAAGAACTAAAAGCTTCCAGAGAGAATGAAGAGATCTCAAGCAAAGGGTCAAGCAGCAGAATGACTTCAGATTTCTCAAGAAGCTAGAGGACCATAGAGCAATGCCTTCAAAATTCTGGTGGAAAATAAATAACAGCATAGTAACCTGAACTCAGGGGGCTTCCCCGGTGGCTCAGGAGGTAAAGAATCTGCCTGCAATGCAGGAGACCCTGGTTTGATTCTTGGGTTGTGAAGATCCCCTGGAGAAGGGAATGGCAACCCACTCCAGTATTCTTGCTCGGAGAATCTCATGGACAGAGGAGCCTGGTGGACTACAGTCCATGGAGTTGCAAAGAGTTGGGCACAACTTAGCGACTAACACTTTCACAACCTGTACTCAACTTAATCATCATTCAAATAGAAGAACGAAATCAAAAACCCACAGAAGCAAGATCTCAAAAAACTTATATCCCATGTACTCTTTCTGAGGGAGCTGCTGGAGGCTGGGTCTAAAGAAAGAAGTGGGTGGAAGTGGGGGTTCTAACAGGAACACTGTGACGTTGCACACTGAGGTCAAGTGTTAACTAGTCCAGTTTGGAACAGGTTTGAAATTTTAGGGTCAAAGAGGACAGGGTACCACGTCTAGAAGCTCCCTTCCTCTGGAATGAACACATGGGCCCTTTAAAGGCAGGGGCTCCATCTCTCATGTGGCTATATCACAGGCAAGATGGTGCATGGCTAAGCCAGAGCAATGAGGCAAGAAGTATGTTCTTCTTCCAGACCTCTGCTCACCAACATGTTGGGAAGCGCCTTCTGAACCTTGTACTCTCCAAGGAATAAGAAAATGAAATCTGCCTAAGTAAGAGGAAGTAGCCTATGATGTATACATACCCTTGTAGTTGTTTACAGTAGTTCTGGAAGGATACACAACAAGCTGGTCACAGTGGTTGTTTGAGAGGAAGGGAACCAACGAGGTGGCTTGAGAAATAGGTTGGAGGAGATCTTGCTTTACTTTTTTTCTTTTGAATTTGGACCACCAACAAAAGATAAACACACACACACCATCCCCCTACTCCCCAAAAGCTGGCGAGAGGCTATTCAGAAGCCAGTTGCCAGTGGCTTGCACTGAGATAACCGCTGCGCTGATGGAGAGAAGTGGCTGGACTTGGAGGTCCATGGTCATCATGTGCTCAGTGCCCTCCAGGCGCTCATACTCTACAGGAAGACTTGGTGGAGAAATAGGGTGATGGGAAGCTCAATGGAGGGATGCTTCACCTGGCCTGAGGGCAAACAGGGGCTGGGTTGCAGCCCTATCCAGCCCTGAAGCTACCTAAGACTGCCTGGGGAACAGCCCTAACCATGGATATTGACCCTGTTGTGGGGAGGACCAGACCCCTCCCCAGGTCATACCTCAGATCTGTCCCAGAAATGGACTGCACTGGGCAGGCTGAGCCCGCGGAGACCAGCTGCACGTGGTGTGCTCTATGTGAATATCCTGCCCTGGAGCCTCGGCTCTCCCTGCTTCCCAGGCACTTGCTTTTCAGCTGACTCTGAGCATCCCTCCTACGCAGGTGGCCAAGACGAAACAGCAGATCGAGGAGCAGCGGGTGCAGGTGCAGGTGGTGGAGCGGGCCCAGCAGGTGGCAGTGCAGGAGCAGGAGATCGCCCGCCGGGAGAAGGAGCTGGAGGCCCGCGTGCGCAAGCCGGCGGAAGCGGAGCGCTACAAGCTGGAGCGCCTGGCGGAGGCAGAGAAGTAAACACCCCTCCCTGCCCGCCTGGGGGCTCCTTCACCACCTGGGCGCCCCCAGACAAAAAGCTGAGGCCTTCTCTATCTGTCCTCCTTCTGCGGAGACTTTCTCCCAGAGCGAGGGCTGTTCTTCAACTCCCCCCTCCACTCCCCTTTGCCCAGGTCCCAGCTGATCATGCAGGCTGAGGCAGAAGCCGAGGCTGTGAGGGTGAGTTAGCCGACTGGTGGAGGGAGTGGGGTGATGCTGGTGCTGGGGTCTCTTGTCCTTACCTATTACCGTTGGTACCTCACGTGTTCTGTACCCTCCTCAGATGCGTGGGGAAGCCGAGGCCTTTGCCATAGGGGCCCGAGCCAGGGCCGAGGCTGAGCAGATGGCCAAGAAGGCAGAGGCATTCCAGCTGTACCAGGAGGCTGCTCAGCTGGACATGCTGCTGGAGAAGCTGCCCCAGGTCTGGGGCGGGGCCGGAGGCAGGGGGTGGGGGTGGGGGTGGTGGAGGGCATATGGACAAGAGCAGAGGAGGGACAGGAGGAGGGAACGAGGGGCCAGGGGAGAACCAGGCTAGGGGCCATGAATTAGGGGTGGGAGTTACAAACCAGTGACCAAAGCAAGGAAGGGTGATCCTCACAAAAGCGAAGAACACAGGTCTTAAAACCCAGAGTAGGAGTCTTAGGATGGGTGGTGAGACCCTGGTGCTGAGTGGACATCTTACCTACTAGGTGGCAGAGGAGATTAGTGGTCCTTTGACCTCAGCCAATAAGATCACACTGGTGTCCAGTGGAAGTGGGGCCATGGGGGCGGCCAAAGTGACTGGGGAAGTGCTGGACATCCTGAGCCGCCTGCCGGAGAGCGTCGAGAGACTCACAGGCGTCAGCATCTCCCAGGTGAGCGTTTCTAGGGTGGGGCTGGGAGCCAAATTGCCGGGTTCCTGTGGCACACGACACAGCGAGCCCAGCATGGAGCCAGCACCCAGGAGGCCTGGGGCTGCTGACATTTAGCAGTTGCTTTCCATGTGCCAGACACAGTGCTAAGCTCCTGCACAAATGATTTTAAAAACTTTTTAAAATCAAACTTCCTTTGGGGTGTGTAGGGTTTTACAAAGTGAAGAAACTGAACTTTCAGTTTAGCCCATGTCATTCATACATGGTGAAGCTGGGCTGCAAACCCAGGCCCGCTGTGCTTTCTTGGTCAGCCTGTGTGTGTGTGTGTGAGAACCCACCGGTGTGTGTGCGTGGCTGTGTGTGTGTAGCTCATGTGTCCAACTATCTAAGCCTATGGACTGTAGCCCACCAGGCTTCTCTGTCCATGGAATTCTTCAGGCAAGAATACTGGAGTGGGTTGCCATGCCGTTTTCCAGGGGATCTTCTTGATCCAGGGATTAAACCTGGGTCTCCTGCATTGCAGGCAGACTACCTTCTGAGTCACCAGGGAACTAACCCACTAGCAGAAGGAACTGATTGCAGCCTGTTGATGTTGAATTCCAAGGTGTATCACTGCTTTCCTTGGTGCCTGTTTATTCACCTGTTGGTTATGGTAGAGATCAGGGAGTGGGATCTGGAGCCAGACTGTTGTGGTGTGAATCCTGGCTGCAGTGCATGCCAGCTGACCTTAGACAAGTTCACCTTCTCTGCAGTTGTTTCTTCACCTTAAAGCCAGGTCAATTAAAAGTAACCACCCTGTTGAATTGTTAAGGGGATTAAATGGGTAAATATTTGCAGTGTTTAGTGCCTAACACATAGTAAGTATTATATGAAGAGTGTGTTAAATAAATGCCTGTGTAAATAAAAGCACTGGACTGAATCAGTGACCTTTGAGCTGGGTTCCTTGGAGTCTCCCTGAGGGCGGCACTGTATGATTGGGAGCTGAGGGCCTGTACAAGCAGAGATCTGGTCCCCTTCACCCCTTTCTTCACTCATAAAAGAATTTGAATGACCGCTTGGCAGAGGGGGTGAGATAGGGTACTAGGAAAAGCTAGGATACTTCTGTAAGCATGTCCTCTCTGCAGCCCATTCGTCCAGATGGGAGCCTGGGAGAACAGGGTACCTGGTTCACATAGTCACCACTGTTGTCTTTTGCCAGGTGAACCACAAGCCTCTGCGAACAGCCTGAGTCCTGGACCTTCGTGATGCCCCATCTCATAACTCAAGTTGCCTGAATGGTCGTTATTGCACGCATTTCAGCTGGCTCCCTGAGCACATCACCTCTCCTTGCCAAATAGCCTGTGCCTTGCCCTGGAGGGGAATTGTTCCCTTTCCTAATCCCATACTGCCAAGACTGCCAGTCCCCCAGGGCTCCCATGCCTTCTGATGACCCACCTTATTTAAACTAAGCCTGTTGTCCAGAATTCTTCCCTGACCAAATCTTGAGGGATGGCCTGCAGGTTCTCAACTTTGTCAAATAAATCAGTTAATTACTGATACTTAATTCAGTGTAACATTCAAAATGAACACTAGAGTGTAGCTTTCTCTCTTGCATTCAATGTGCTTTTTTACAGTGGGAGCGAAGCGGTAGTTACTTGTATACTGTTGTAGAGTTGTAGAGTACCCCCGCTCTACCCTGAAGTTCATTATAGTCAGAAAAGCATGCTTAAGTAGAAGCAGTATCAGTAATTATATTAGTCCCTAGAGTTACTGAAAATAAAGCAAAGGGAAATTTGAGACTGTTAACATTGTGCTCTTTGAAGCATTAGTTATTAGCTGTAACATTAAAGTGTCAGTTTAGCATGGGACTATGATGCAACACCACCCCTCCCCAGGTGATTTTTGCCTTAGGCTGAGAAAACCCCACATACCCATAACTGAAAGGAACCCTGGAGGCACTGTGTGTTCCAAGTAGTACATAGTGTCTGTGCATTTCACAAGATTCTTCTGGAGCACTGTTAAAAACAAACTGTTGGGGTCCAACCCACTTTTGGTTCAGTATATCTGGGCAGGTGGGAGAATCAGTTTCTCCAAGTTCAAGGGGATGCTCACCTGGCAACCACTTATATGACGTTCACCTCATTTCTTCTTTCTATCCCTAGATCTCACATATGAGCCTATAGCTATCCCAGTTACTAAGACAGGGTACCAGGGATTAAGGTGTAAGGATATTGTCACCTGTTTATAGGAAGCAGAGTATATTGTGTAACTGACCTGGAGCCCCATGCCTCCTCCACCAGTGATCTTTCCCTGAATGAGCACACGTGTCGCGAAATTCTTTTCAGTTCCCATTTATTTTTGGCTCTTGGGGCAATGTCATCTTTTCAATATGAAAAAAAGCAGCAAGTTCAACACAATAGAAATCTGAAGTGTAGAATAGGACAAGATCAAGAGTGGGGGAAGCAGTAGCAGAAGAGATGAGATGTTTGCCAAAAGATGGAAGGTGTTCTGTCCCTTCTTTGGGGAATGATGTTTAGGTGGCAGCACATACCTTTCCACATAGGTACAGAAGGGGCTGATATATTTTTGGTAAGAAAAGATGGGGTGGGGAGGGGCTTTCTGGAGGCTGAGAGACCAAGGCTATCTCTTGCTTCCCCTGCTTTCTCAAAGGGGAAAGGAGGGAATTCAACATTATTATGAAGGAGATAAAGTGGAAGAGGAAGGGAGTCCCACTTGATAGGGTGGGGGCCAGAAATTTGCAAATGTAATAGCTCAGGACAGAGCTTGGAAGGAGACTGAAAATGAAGATAATACTGTCAACACCTCCACAGAAGCTGAGAGGAGAGGGGAGGGGAGGTACCTGGCACCTAGGACTTCAGTACCCTGGATGCCCCTCTCCAAAACCCAACCCTTTCTTGCAGGGACTTCTACCTGCTGCTCAGTTTCCTTTCCCTTGGGCCAGCACACCGGCCTGGGATGGCAATCACCTATCCAAGTTTTCAGCACACGGTTCTAAATGAGATGTGAGGAGACCCAGCCTCTTGGAGAGTTATCTCAAAACCAGAGAGGGAAATGCTAACTGGAAAGATGGGAGGAGTGGGCACCAGCAGGAAAATGACAGGGTTACCCAGAATGGCAGAAATCTAGGTTCCCCAAGAGTGGAAAGAGAGAAGAGACATTCAACAAACAACAAATATTTATTGAGCGCCTATTATGTGCCAGGCACTGTTCTAGAATCCCCCCCAAAAAAGAAAAAACAAGATAGAGGCAGAAAATGCAAATTCTGAGGGAGAGGAAAGGGGTCGTTGAGGAAGAAGGCTGAGGGGATTGAGAAGCCTAAGGTGACAGGGACTTGGCCTTAGGCCTCCTCTTCGGCCTCCTCACCGAAATCCTCTTCCTCTTCTGCGGTGGCATCCTGGTACTGCTGGTACTCGGAGACGAGGTCGTTCATGTTGCTCTCTGCCTCGGTGAACTCCATCTCGTCCATGCCCTCACCTGTGTACCAGTGGAGGAAGGCCTTCCGGCGGAACATGGCAGTGAACTGCTCCGAGATGCGCTTGAACAGCTCCTGGATGGCTGTACTGTTGCCAATGAAGGTGACTGCCATCTTGAGACCACGGGGTGGGATGTCGCAAACGGCTGTCTTGACGTTGTTGGGGATCCATTCCACGAAGTAGCTGCTGTTCTTGTTCTGCACGTTGAGCATCTGCTCATCCACCTCCTTCATGGACATCCGCCCACGGAACACAGCTGCCACGGTGAGGTACCGGCCATGGCGGGGGTCACAGGCAGCCATCATGTTCTTGGCATCGAAGACCTGCTGGGTGAGCTCAGGCACTGTGAGGGCCCGATACTGCTGGCTGCCACGGCTGGTTAGGGGGGCAAAGCCAGGCATGAAGAAGTGGAGACGTGGGAAGGGCACCATGTTGACTGCCAGCTTGCGGAGGTCAGCATTGAGCTGGCCAGGGAAGCGGAGGCAGGTGGTGACACCGCTCATGGTGGCCGAGACGAGGTGGTTCAGGTCTCCATAGGTTGGCGTGGTCAGCTTGAGGGTGCGGAAACAGATGTCGTAAAGGGCCTCGTTGTCAATGCAGTAGGTTTCATCAGTGTTCTCCACCAGCTGATGGACGGAGAGGGTGGCGTTGTAGGGCTCAACCACAGTGTCAGACACTTTGGGTGAGGGCACCACGCTGAAGGTGTTCATGATGCGGTCAGGATACTCTTCACGGATCTTGCTGATGAGCAAGGTGCCCATTCCGGAACCAGTGCCCCCACCCAGCGAGTGGGTCAGCTGGAAGCCCTGCAGGCAGTCACAGCTCTCGGCCTCCTTCCGAACCACATCCAGGACCGAGTCAACCAGCTCGGCCCCTTCTGTATAGTGGCCCTTGGCCCAGTTGTTGCCTGCCCCGGACTGACCTGTGATGGAGTTAAAAGGCAAGCTTGTTCAGTCAAGTGTGAGAAATACACAGCCCTATTTCTACCTTTCAACTTTTGGAGTAAGGCCCGTGGATTTATCTTCCTTCTTACTTCCTGATGATACATCTGCCCCTGTATAATTTACTATCTAAATTACTACCTCCACTCTCCATTAGATTTAAAAACACAAGCCCGTATAAACTCCAGTACAATCATTTCTAACTCTTGCTGCACCCAAATAACTCGAATAGCAGTATCTACCGATATCTCCCTAACTCACCAAAAACAAAGTTGTCTGGTCTGAAGATCTGACCAAAAGGACCTGAGCGAACAGAGTCCATGGTTCCGGGTTCTAGATCCACCAAAATAGCACGAGGAACATATTTGCCACCTAGAGGAAATAAAGTAAAAGAGTGAAACTGGGAGACATAAAGGTAAATAAATTGGGGCCCAGAGAGCCGGGGACCCAAATGTGTGATTTCAGACACTGACACCAGGTGGCAGCAGAGCCACTCGGAAAGCGAGAAACGTCTCCAACGGGGGTGGATGGATTCATTCAAAGAGGATAAAGGGTTTCCCGGGGAGGCAGAGACACCAGAGAAGTGGGAGTGATGGGACCCGTGCTTCCCGGGCTCTCGCCCTCACCTGTGGCTTCATTGTAGTACACGGAGATGCGGTCCAGCTGTAGGTCGCTGTCCCCATGATAGGTGCCCGTGGGGTCGATGCCATGTTCATCACTGATCACCTCCCAGAACTGCCAGGGAAGAGCAAAGAGTCTTCAACATCTCAGGGTCCAGCCAATTATGCTCCCCTAGTGCCATTTTAGCTCCAGATTCGCCTGTGGCGGGCCCTCCCCAAGGATCTAGCATTTCTTCTGCCTGCCACACCCTTCCCCTAACCACCTGCACCTTCGGAAAAACGGCAGCTTTCACTGCCTGGGACGTGAGATGCTGTGTGGCTTAAAGGGCCCGGCGATCGCAGGCACGGGGGTGGGTAGATGGAGGCGGTAACCCCGGGCACAAAGAGACAGGGGCCGGAGAAAAAGAGCCACTGCCGCAGGCGCCCACCCCGCCCTGCACGTGACCGCGGCGCACGCACGCGCCAGGCGACCGACAAAGGGAGGTGCCGCGCGAGGGCGGGGCCGAAGGGCGAATTCCGCGCGCCAGGGGCGGGGCTTGGCTCGAGCTCGCGCGCCCCCCGCCGGCCGGCCTGGCCGCATTGTCCCAGCGCGCCAGGGGCGCCCGGGTCCCGCCCTTCTGCTACAACGTAGCAGCCGCACTTCCTCCCTGCCCCTCCCCCGCTACACTGTAACCGCGCGCAAAAAAAAAAAACCCCTCCCCCTTGGCCTCGAAATTTCATTTCTTTGCTAGCTTTTAACCCCCTTTCTTTAAATGATGTTTTTCTTCCTTTGTCCTATTCTCTAGCTCTGAGGAACCTTTTCAAAGAATGGACTCTCTCCCCCCGCCCCCTCGCCCTTTCTCCCTATCTGTCCACGCCCTTAAGAGTCTGTTAAGAGGAAATAAAAGGAACAAATTAGTCCAGCACATAGTAGCCTTCCATGCACGAAAAACTGCGGGACCGCCCCTTGGGGATAGCGGGCGCCCGGAGATTCCTAATCATTTGTAAAGGATATCGCCCAGCCCACCTGGCGCATCGCGTCCCCCACATTTGGATCTGACCTCTCGGCAGCTGCCCGCCATCCTCGCCCCTTCCCCCTCTGGCTTAACCCCACGAAGCCCCGCCAAGGGGGATGCACATGGGGGAAACCTCATCTAGCTTTTGTCTCGGCCGTTTCCGCATCTCCCTCGCTCCCCGGTCCTCGGACCGTTAGGAGATCCCCTTTCTAAGTAAAATTTTACAGAAACTCGGTTTTCCCGCCCCCTAACCCTGAAGGGTGCTTTTAACAGCTTCCCCAAAATGAGCCTGCCAAGAAAAAGAACTCTTCATTTTTCAAAAGCAAATCTTAAGGTTCAAACATGCATTTATATATAAAAGTTTTGAGAGGCAAATCTTGACTAAGAATGGAAAATGCAAACGTTCTACAACCATCAGTCAAAATATACCTGTTTGGCTTTTTTTTTTTTTTCCCTTAAAAATAAATACAGTCAAAAGAGGTTAAAAATCCTTACCTTGGCACCGATCTGATTGCCACACTGACCGGCCTGGATGTGCACGATTTCCCTCATTGTTAAAATTTATTCAAATCTTTTTGCTCGCCTCAAAGTGTGTACGGGGCAAAAAAATGATATGGAATTAGTTTTTCTCTGCTGCTGGTCGCAGGGTGGAAAGATGGAACTGGACCCGGAGGCTGAAGCAGCGAGGTCCGAACGCGGCGGCAGGAAGGTTCTGAGAGGGAGAAAGGAGAGGGGAGGGCGCGGGAGGAAAGGCGGGCAGGGCGGGGCGCGCGTGCGCGGGGGCCGGGAGGCGGGAGAACTCGCCGCGCGCCGCGGTGGAGAGACAAAGCCTCTCTAGGTTGGCCCTGATTAGTCCGTGCCGGTCCTGTATCAGACGTCCATTGGTCCCTGCTGGACGAGCGCAGTCCTTCCTGGGAGTTGTAGTTCTCTATTGTTGTCCACGCTGCAAAATGAAAGGACGAATGGGTGGGTACTGGGTCGAGGGGTTTTGGTTTGGGTGTTTTGACTGAAAAACGGCCCGGCGCGAGGGTTCCTTCCCCTATGCCTGACTCGTCTGGTATCAAAAGAGAGTAGTTTTCGGGGATACAGGAATTGGGAACCCTGGTGTGCCAGGCTCTGGAAGGTGGAGTGGGGGCACGCCCTGAAAGCTCCCCGCTGCGGTAGCTCTTGGGAAGATAGGACTGCTTAGCTCAGCGAAAACGGGGAGAAATGCGGCACCCTGATCTGCTAACAGCTGGTCCCTGGTGACCCAAGGCATGAACTCCAGTGAGCTGCGGCTCCCACAGATATCTCGGGAAGGAGGAAGGCATTGCCTTCCTGCTATTTCCTTGGGAGCTTTCTAATGATATTTAGAAAGAAACAAAATTGCATCAAGGACTTTTCAGTATAGAGAAGTAATTGTCTGGAAGGTATGTTCAAGAATAGAGAAGCAGATATGCCGGAAGTCTCCGTCCATGTGGGGAATCTGGGCCTTAGAACAGCGTTTAACACAGTTTTGTCAAGAGGCGAACTGTGTGGTGAGATACCTGATAGGCACTTTGATGAAGTCAGTGTTTTTTCAATTCGCTGATTTCACTGAGAGGTGGTTGACCATTGCAACCTTTAAAGAACCTCGGGAATAAAATAAAAGGGGTTGGGGGTGTGATGGGAAAAAAAATTGGATGAGCTCAAATCTGAGTGGCATGTTTCTTCTCCGGGATTAATTCAATTTGAGAGAGATTAAATGTCCACCAAACCAGGAGCTAGGAATACAGAAATGATTAAGGATTAGCTCACTGTCCTCCAGGATCTTGCAATTTGGTGAGAAGTGTATAAACACTAGAGTGTGGTAAGCATCATGATAAAGGACATGGCATATCAGGCTCCCTGAATGTGTGCTCAGTCATGTATGACTCTGCGACCCCATGGACTGCAGCCCGCCTGGCTCCTCTGTCCATGGGATTGTCCAGGCAAGAATACTGGAGCTGGTTGCCATTTCCTTCTCCACGGAATCTTCCCGACCCAGGGATCGAACCCGTGTCTCCTGCGTCTCCTGAATTGGCAAGAGGGCTGTTTACCTGTGAGGTACTTGGTTATATGATAGCAAGGTGTTAATTCACACTGGATTCAACACACATTTCTCATCTTCTAAATAAAAGAACATAAATTTCTGTAAGACGCATCTACCCAGTTAAAATGTTTATGTTTGAAGGCACAATCACAATGAAAGTAGTTATGTATTTTGTGGTAGTGAAGAGAGTTCAGAATTTACCATTAAATTGTTTCAGTTTGTCTCTAACAATAGTCGTAGGAGCCCAGGCAAGCTAACTTCCGCAGAACTCTTATTTCTGGTCAGAATGAAATGAGAATACGAATGCAAAAGGTCCTCATAAATTATTCCTGTGAAATTGTCTTGTCTTAGTATGAAATTTAGCAAAATAAAATTTATCATCCTGTAGCCCTTCAAAGACCTCGGTGAGCCTTTAAGATGGTTAACAAAAGAGTTCTCTCCGTTTGCCTAGCTATCTTTACTCCAGGAAAATGACCTCAAAGTGTCCATCAGGAAAGGATTCTCAGGGAGGAAATGACATGACTTCTAGATGAGCTAAATCAAAAGGAAATGAACTTCCATTGTAGTGAGTCCTCAAGCGCCACGCCTACGGGCTATTCTCCAAACTGCAGTCTTCAGCCACGACTGCAGCCCGCAACCCTTATATTTCTCATGAGTCAGCGGACACCATTTCTGGGAGGACCAGAGAAGCCGCTCTGGCCTCACTACATGCTTAGGTTGACGACAGTGGTAAGCCCCTCTATCCGCTGCTGGCATCCAGACTCTGTGGTCGCAACTTGGAAATATACGCGGGAAGTGGGTGGTGAAACCGCAGTGGGTTGTCCTTTGGAGCTGCCCAATCGAAATGCGCTATTCAGTGCGCCTTCCGCGGCTTCCGATTACCGCCTCGCCCAACGGATCTGTCTCCCGGGAGAAGCCGCCCCTTTGAGCCGCAAGGGGGCGGGTCGGGTCGGGGGCGGGGCTACGGCTGTGCCTCCGCGTTGGTGGATTGCTCCGTCTGCTTGCCACAGGGCTGAGAAAGACAAAGGCTTCAGCCAATCAGCTAATCGGCCCCCTCCCCGCTCAGGCACTGGCACCACCCCTGTCGCAGCCGTTACTGGTGGCGCGCGCGGGGACTCCAAGTAGGTGAGTTCTGGGGGGCCTCGCCCACGACTCCCCGGATGCCATCTTGGTTTTCCCGGAGGGCGGGAGGGGCGTGCCTTGGGTAAGACTGGGCGGAGGAGTCTTGGAAATTTGCTTTTCGGATTATAACCCTCATCTTCACTTGACGGCCCTCCCTGAGTTTAGGTATGAAGACACTGGGAGAGGTTGGGCTCGGAGGGAACCCTTGGGATCGAGATCAAAGATGAAGGCCCATTGGATTGGAGCCAAAGGTCATGGGCGCCAGCTGACTTCGCCATCATGAAAACGATGTTAACACTTTCTCCATGGAGGTGTCCCACTTTCCTTACTTGTCAACATTTTCCCTTTAGGGTAGCATCTTTAAAATTTAATTCCCACCCATACTAGTTTGACTTTTCATCTTATTATTTCATCAGGAGAGCAGAGTTAATTTTACTTTTAGCTCATGAATGTATTCGGAATACCTCTAGTGGTACCAGATACACAGTAACTACTGTTGAATGAACATGATGGACCCTTGGGGAAAATACAGTTCTAACTGGTCCAGTTCTCAAGGGGGATGTGTGAAGCAGAAATGGAATGTAATAGTTACACTATGGTGAGACCTATTAGGATAATACGAGTCCACCAACCACCGTGAAACACTTAGGATACATGGGGAATAGGGGAAAGTACCAGAACACAGAGAAGACTAAAGGCATGGCTTTGCTGAGAAAGTGACATTTGAGCTAAAAGGATGGATAGGAGTGGATCAGAACACTAGGGGCAACGTCCTAAGAAGCTGGCTAAGGCCTGCAAATGTGAGAGACAACAGGGACAGTGTGTTAAGAGATTAGTGAGAAGTTCCATGTTGTAGAACCACAAGATTGGATGGGGGTGGGAATGGGACACACATTTCAGGAGATGAGGTTCTGATCATTGAGGGTCTTGCTAAGGAGTTTAGATTTATTTTATCCCATGGGTGTGGAAAACCATCAAAGAATATTAAACAGGAAGAGACATTATCTGAGTGAAAGTCACTCAGTCTTGTCTGACTATAGTCCCTGGAATTCTCCAGTCTACAGTACTGGAGTGTGTAGCCTTTCTCTTATCCAAAGGATCTTCCCAACCCAGGGGTTGAACCCAGGTCTCCTGCATTGCAGGCAGATTCTTTACCAGCTGAGCCACAAAGGAAACCCATTATCTGAGTTATCTTGGACAAATCTGTTAATCCATCCCTATTGCAGTTTCTTTATCTCAGAAATAGAAAGTAAAATAAGGAATTTTCTGGTGGTCCAGTAGTTAGGACTCAGTGCTTCCACTGCAGTTCCACTTCCACATGTGGGACTCAGATCCCACATGCTGTGTGGCCTTAGTTGGGGCATTTGGGATCTAGTTCTCTGACTAGGTGTTGAACCCTGACCCCCTGCATTGGGAGCACAGAGCCACTGGACCACCAGAGAAGTCTCTCAACTCAGTTTTTGTTTTTGTTTTGTTTTGTTTTGTTTTGTTTTGTTTTTTGGCCATGCAGATTCTTAGTTCCCTGACCAGGAATGGAACCTGCACCCCCCAGCAGTGGAAGTGCAGAGTCTTAACCACTGGACAACCAGGGAAGACCCTTATATTTCTGTACTTGGAACTCTGTAACATTTCTTTCTTATTCTGTGTCCTGGTCAAAGATATTTCTTAAATGCTTCAGAAAAATAACAACAGAATGATTGGCAGAAAGAAAAGCATCAGCCTGCATAGCTATCCAGGAGACTGCAGTTACCAGTCTCTTCCCTGAGACTGTGTGTGTGAGCCACTGAAGGAAGGGATAATGTGTTTTTTTCCCAGATCATGGAAGACACCCAGGTTTTAAACTGGGAAGTTGAAGAAGAGGAGGAGGTTGAAGAGAGCCCCACTGAATCTGTGGGGTATAGCTTGGAGCCCCTAGGGCAGCTGCATATCTTCAGTAGTTCTTATGGACCGGCAAAAGGTCAGGAGTAATTTCTTGCTAAAGTACTGGTATCGGCCTCTTATTTCTGCGGGGAGGTAATGGGATGGTTGCAAGCTTAGATATGCATCTGTGAGATCTGAAAAAAATGTCTTACTGGGGATGGAAAAGCGGGGGTGATTATCTGATTGCTCCAGGCAAGGGACCTGGACTCCATGGGGGTGATTTTACTTTGGTAGGAGAAGATGAAGGAATTCAGATAAAAATCCAGTGAGGTCTGGAAATGGAAGGTGGTAATGTTTTGCACAACAGTGTGAATGTACTTGATGTCACTGTGCTATACATTTAAAAATTGGCTGAATGGTAAATTTATGTATTCTGTGCTGTGCTTAGTCACTCAGTTGTGTCTGACTCTTTGTGACCCCATAGACTGTAGCCCACCAGACTCTTGTCCATGGAATTCTCCAGGCAAGAAGGCGGGAGTGGGTTGCCATGCCCTCCTCCAGGGGATCGTCCCAACCCAGGAATCGAACCCAGGTCTCCCACATTGCAGGTGGATTCTTTCTAGTCTGAGCCACCGGGCAAGCCCAAGAATACTGGATTGGGTAATCTATCCCTTCTCCAGGGGAGCTTCCCAGCACAGGGATCAAACTGGCATCTCTTGCATTGCAGACAGATTCTTTACCAGTTGAGCTACCTGGGAAGACCAAATTTTATGTATATTTTACCGCTATAGAAACAGTCCAGTGTAGATAGAGGGAATGTTGACTATGAATAATGCATTGCATATATTCTTTATTAGCTAGCTATTCTAGGGCCTTTTATTTTTCTAATGCATGGGGGGTACCTTGAGTGAGTCGTGGGGAACTTAACAGAAACGTTTTTCTTAATAGCAAGTTAGGACTATGGCTTTGGAACTCACCTACCTCTCTAATTCTTAGACTTCCCACTCTACCTCGGGAAGAACATGATAGGCCGAATGCCTGATTGCTCTGTGGCCCTGCCCTTTTCATCCATCTCCAAACAACATGCAGTGATTGAAATCTCTGCCTGGGACAAGGCGCCTGTTCTCCGGGATTGTGGGAGCCTCAATGGCACTCAAATCCTGCGGCCTCCTAAGGTCCTGGGCCCTGGGGTGAGTCATCGTTTGCGGGACCGGGAGTTGATTCTCTTTGCTGACTTGCCCTGCCAGTACCATCGCTTGGATGTCCCCCGGCCTTTTGTCTCCCGGGGCCCTCTAACTGTAGAGGAGACACCCAGGGTACAGGGGGGAACTCAGACCTCCAGGCTTCTGTTGGCTGAGGACTCAGAGGAAGAGGCAGGTAAGTTTGTGTATCAGGAGGGTGGGTGAAGAGACAGGGATGGTGAGTGTAAAACTCTCCACTTACTCCTTTCTACTCATGACAGATTCCCTTTTGCACAAGTGTGTGGTGAAAGGACCAAGGACCTCTTTGGCAACAGTCGTTCCAGAGAGGTGAGTGTCAAAGGGCGAGGCATCTGAGTCTTCAAATAGATGAGGAATCAGGGGCTGGACGAGCCATCTCTGGGAGAGCTAATTACCATCAAAGTCTGGGCTGGGTGTAAAGTAATTAGCCTCCAACTAATAAAAATAAATGGAAAAAACAACAACAACAAAAAGTCTGGGCTGGGGAACCACACATACTCCTTCACTCAGCTGAGTTTTTACTGAGCACCTCTCATGTGCCAACTAGAAAACTAATTGCTGGAGACAGAACAGCAAGTACCACCTTGTGTCTGCTCTCAAGGAGTTCCTACTTGGGTGGAATATCCCTTCTGGGGGATCGATTCTATAGGTTTCTTCTTTTCTCTTCCCTTCACAGTGATGAAGAAGGGCCTTCCCCTGCCCCAGATGGGCCCGGGCCACCTGCCTTCGACTTGAACAGCGACACAGATGAGGAAGAAAGTCAGGAATCAGGAGCAGGAGAGGCCTCTTCAGCTGCCAGAAGAGGTACCGCTGCAGAGACAGAACAGCCTGAACCTGTCACAGCCGAAGTCCAGATTGAGAAGGATCAGTGTTCCGTGAAGGAGAGGAACAGGGACACAGAAATCAAGAGGGATGTGAGGACTGGGGTCGTTCCGATTGGAGTGATTCTGGAGAGGAGCCAGCCTTCTGGGGAGGGCAGTGACACAGATGTAAGTGATGAGAGTGGGCCTCCAAGAAGGCTTGCTGGGGTCCGTCCGAAAAGGGCCTGGTCTTGTAACTTCATAGACAGTGATACCGATGGGGAGGACGAGGGAATCCCTGCTACCCCAGCAGTGGTTCCCATGAAGGAGAGGCAGACCTTCCACGAAGCTGGTACACAGAGCCCCCAGGCACCTGGTGTGGCACATCGGCAGGAGAGCCCAGCTGATGGTGATACAGATATAGAGGAGGGGGAGGCCCCCCCGGACAGAATCCAAGCCTCCATGGTGATTGACAGCAATACAGACTGTGAGGAGGAAGTCTCGGCAGCTCTGACACTGGCACGTCTAAGAGAGAGCCAGGCTGGTAAGTGGAACCAAGATCCAGATGCAGAAGAGGATAGGGCTCAACCAGTGGCCCTTCTGGAGCGAAGCCAGGCCTGTGCTGGGGGAGACAGTGACACAGATGTGGAGGAAGAGGGGCTCCCAGTGGAAAGGAGGGGAATGGTTCCCAAGGGTCACATGGACAGGGAATATTCAAAAAAGAGCCAGCATCCTCCCAGGGACAGTGATACAGAGGGGAAGGAAGATGAGAGCTCACCGGGGGTCTATCTGGAGAAAAGCCAGGCCTCTGCACAAGTGGAGGATGAGGTCTCACTGAGGCCAGCTGTTGCACTTCCGGAGAAGCGTCAGGTACGAAGCATAGTGTGGACACATCACACCGATGCGGAGGCAGATGGGGGCCCGGCACAGCTGCCTGTGCTGCAAAGTCTAGAGGAAGCCCAGCCTCCTCTAGCTGGGGACTGTGAACCAGATGCGGAGAACACATCCTCAGCAGTGGCTGGTGTCAGAAAGAGCCAGCTTCTGGTGGAAAAAGATGCTGGGACCACATGGGCCGCAGCCGTTCCTGAACAGGACAGAGCACTTGCCACCGGGACCCAGGGTGGGTCATCCACAGCACCAGGGGAGCAGGACCTTCTCCCGGTCTCAAGGGAAAACCTGGCAGATCTGGTGGTGGACACAGGCACTCCAGGGGAGCCCCAACCGCAGAGAGAGGGGGCCCAGCCCACCACAGGAAGGGAGAGAGAAGCACATGGGAATAGGGCCACAGACTCTGGAGAGAACCTCCATGGTAAGTGCTGGCCTTTCTTCCTCCCTGGAAACCTGCGATAAAGAAAGCTTCTAGCGTATCTTAGTTCATGTGAGCTGCTGTAACAAAAGACCATAGACTGGGTAGCTTATAAACAACAGAAGTTTATTTTTCACAGTTCTAAAGGCTGGGAAGTCTAAGATCAAGACACCAGCAGATTCAGTATCTGCTGAGGCCCTGCTTTCTTCTTATAGATAGTCGTCTTCTCATTATGTCTTCATATGGCAAAAGGGCCCAAGGGAGCTCTCTGGAGTCTCTCTCATTTTTTCTAAATGACTTTATTTATTTTTGGCTGTGCTGGGTCTTCCTTGCTGTGCTGGCTTTTCTCTAGTTATGTGGAGCCGAGGCTACTCTCTAGTTGTGTACATTGACTTCTTATTGCAGTGGTTTCTCTTGTTGAGTACGGGCTCTAGAGCTCAGGCTCAGTAGTTGAGGCACACAGGCTTAGTTGCTTCAGGGCATGTGGGATCTTCCTGGATCAGGGCTCGAACCTGTGTCTTCTGCATTGGCAGGCAGATTCTTTACCACTGAGCCATGGCTGAGCCTGCACTAATACCATTCATGCAGGCTGTGCCCCCGTGACCTAGTCACCTCCCAGTCACCTCTTAATGCCCTCACAGTGGAAATTAGGTTTCAACATAAGAATTTCTGGGGAGACACAGATTCAGTCTATTGCATGGGATTGGGGCTGTGGAGAGAACTGTAGAGAAAGGGAGTTAGGATCAGCTCTGGTTTTTTAATTATCCTGCATTCCTCCCCACCAGATTCTGAAGATCTGGACCTACCAGCTACCCAGTGCTTTGTAGACAGAGAGAATCAGAGCCTGGAAGGTGAGGCCATCTGTGTTGTGTGGATACTGGTACAAGCAGGAGCTGGGAGATTTAGACTAGTGGTCCTTGAAGGATGTGAAGGTTGGCATGGGCAGCGTAGAAGACTGGGAATGGGCCCTCAGAGTTCTGTGGAGGAGCAGTGCTCAGGCCATGGTTTTTTGTGTAGCAGTCCCCAGCATGGAGGATGAGCCCACCCAGGCCTTCCTATTTCCTCTGCCCCAAGAGCCTGGCCCTTCCTGTTGCAGCTTCCAGGCCACAGGTATGAGAAACTCACGCCTCTTCTGTGCCCCCAACTTGGCATCCTTATTTCCCTCCTCTGCACGTGTTTTTTATAGTCTTTGACATTTTTTTGCTGATGTTCTTCCATCTCATCAGAAAAGAATGCCACATTAAGTCAGACCCAGAGAGCAACTACTCTAGCAAGTAGTTTATTTTAATTTATGTATTTGATTGCTTGGGGTCTTAGCGGCGGCATACAGGATCTTTAGTTGCAGCACGAGAACTCTTTACTTGTGGCATGTGGGATCTAGTTCCCTGACGAGGGATCAAACCTGGTCCCCCTACATTGGGAGCTCAGAGTCTTAGCCACTGGACCACCAGTGAAATGTTATGGCTCTCTTCCTTATTCCCAGCTTTCCTTTAATAACTCACTTAAATTTCTTATGCATGAATTTGTTTTAATCTTTTCTCAAGCTGTTACCTCTTCAACCTACATCCCTCTCTCTGTGACTCTGCTTCCAGGTTCCCTGGATGAGGCATGGGAGGTCTTGGCGACACAGCCATTCTGTCCGAAAGCGTCTGAGGCCTCTGAGACCCAAACCGCTGTCACCCTCCTTGACACCCCTGCATCTTGCCCCCATCCATCTAGGACAGCACAGCAAGAGCAACATCCAGAGAGCCCAGTCCATGCAGAGCCACTGGGGATGGAAGGCAGAGGGATGCAGACTCTGGAGAAAGACATGGGTACCCCAAGAGAAACAGCAGAGAGGGTGATCCCTGAGGGAGGGCCACTGCAGAAGGAAACCAAGAAACTGCCCTCGGAAAGAGAGAGGGAAGATGCGACGGGAGAGGAAGAATTAATCGGGGCGATACAGGACAGAGAACAAAATCAGGTGTTAGCTAGAGATACTCAGAGCCAAGAATCTGACAAAAAAGTGAAAAGCGCAAGTACTGGAAGGGGAATGGAGACTGTGAAGGTAGAGATCGAGACTCCCAAGGAAACACAGGAGAGAGAGAGAGAAAAGCAGACCCTTGCAGGGGAAATATTTGAGAGTGAAGCAGGGAAACTGGTAGCAGAGAGAGAGAGTGAGGCAGGTGGGTTAGAAGTCAAGGGACCCCAAGAGCTACTGGATAGAGGCCCACAGATGGGAGAGACAGAGGTGGGGGGCCAGGACCAGAAAGGCCAAGCCTCTGCTCCACCACCAGAGCCTGGAGCAGGGGCAGGAGACCTTCAGGGACTTGCCTCAGACCTAGTAGCTTCTGGGAGCCAGGCAGGTGGAGGAAGGGGAGCCCCAGGGAGCCCCAGGAGGCAGCAGAGAGGTAAGTGAAGGTAGAAGGGAGCCCGAAGTGGTCCACATCCCCATGATAATTGACTGCTAGGTGACTGACTGCTTAGACCTCAGCTGCTTGTCTTTCCCTCTGTCCAGGTGACTTGAATTGCGAGATGCCACCTGCTGAGAAGGCTTCCAGGGTGAGAACTGTCTCTACCCCCACCCCACTCCACAGGTCATCTCTCCATCTTCTGCACGGCCCCTTCCCCTGACCTTGCTTTCATCTACTCCTTTCCTTTCCTTTTCTTCTTTCTTTTCTTCCATTTTCACTGCTCCTTAGTTAGCTTTTGTCTGTTTACCTTGACACCTGTTGTTTTCCATATCTATTTCCCAAGTTCTGTCTTCCTCTACCTGTCTCAGAACGTTCCTTTTTTTATGTCCCTTCCCTCCCTGCTTTCTCCCAACCATCCTCTTTATCACTATTGTCCATATATGGCCTTTTGGGGCGAGGTCTTTGGGAAAGAGGAAATTCCAGTTCTAATGGAACTAATAAAATTCTAGTTCTAATTCCAGTCTAATGGAACAGACAGAGAAGTGCCATGAGCACACTGTCTAAACAAGTATTGAGAACAATATCCAAGTCCTCTCCCTTCTCTCTGCCTCTTCCTCACTGGCTTCTTTCTCCCCAGGGTGATCAGGAATCCCCAGAAGCTTGCCTGCCTCCTGCAGCACCTGAAGCCTCAGCCCCACTCCCAAACTCCCTCATCTCTCAGATCCAAAAACATCCCACACCTCAGTCCCTCCTTTTTCCCTCTCCAGCTCCTTTAGAACTGCCCATTCCCAGGACCAGACAAAATGAGAGTCAGGAAGCTCCAGAGACTCCCTTCTCCTCCAAGCTGAACTCTGTCCACCCAGAACCCAAAGTCAGGCCCCAGGGGTCCTCTCCAGTTTCTTCTCTACCCCTTGAGCCTCACCCTACCACCCCCACAGGCCAGCCTATTGCCCTTGAACCCACCTCTGGGGTCTCTCAGAGCAGGTCACATAGTTCCTTTGATGTACCTGCCTCATCAGTTATCCCCACAGCCCTTGCACTGCAGCCATCCACCTCCACAGACCAGTCTGTCACCCCTAAGCCCACACTGCGGGCCCCTCGGGGCAGGGCACATAGATCTTCTGTCAAAACCCCTGAACCCAATGTCCCCACAGACCAGCCTGTTGCCCCTGAGCTCACAGCTAAGGCCACTCGGGGCAGGGCACAGAGGTCTTCTGTCAAGACTCCCAAACCAGATAACCCCACAACACCCCAGCCCCAGCCTTCCACTTCCACAGACCAGCCTGTCACCCCCAAACCCACATCCCGGGCCCCTCGGGGCAGGACACCTAGGTCTTCTGCCAAGACTCCTGAACCAGTTGTCCCCACAGCCTCTGAACTCCAGCCTGCTGCCCCTAAAGACCAGCCTGTTGCTCCTGAGCTCACATCTAGAGCCACTCGGGGCAGGACACAGAGGTCTTCTATCAAGACTTCCAAACCAGATACATCCACAACCCCTGAGCCCCAGCCTTCCACTTCCACAGACCAGCCTGTCACCCCCAAACCCACATCTCGGGCCCCTCGGGGCAGGACACCTAAGTGTTCTGCCAAGACTCCTGAACCAGTTGTTTCCACAGCCTCTGAGCTCCAGCCTTCTGCCCTCACAGACCAGCCTGTCACTCCTGAGCTCCCATCTAGGGCTACTCGGGGCAGGACACAGAGGTCCTCTGTCAAAACCCCTGATCCAGTTACCACCACAACACCTGAGCTCCAGCCTTCCACCTCCACAGACCAGCTTGTTACTCCCAAACCCACATCTCGGGCCCCTCGAGGCAGGACACGTAAGTCGTCTGCCAAGACTCCCGAACCAGTTGTTCCCACAGCCTCTGAGCTCCAGCCTTCTGCCCCTGCAGACCAGCCTGTTGGTCCTTTGGCCACTCAGTGTAGAAGACATAGGTCTTCCGTCAAGACCCCGGAACCAGTTGTCCCCACAGTCCCTGAGCCTCATTCTTCCACTTCTAAAGATCAGTCTGTCGCTCCTGAACCCACACCTCAGGCCACTCAGAGCCAAACACATAGGTCCTCTGTCAAGACATCCCAGCCAACTGAACCCACAGCCCCTGACCTCAAACCTTCCTCCCCCACAGACGAGCCTGTCACTCCCAAGGTCATAGCTCAGGGTGGTCCAAGCAGGGCACGAAGGTCTTCTACAGCAAGTGCTGTGCTGGTTCCTACTACCCCCGAATTCCAGTCTCCAGTCCCCTCAGAACAGCCTCTTCCCCCTGACCCCATCCCTGAAGTCAACTGCAGCAGGAGGCCAAGGGCCACTAGGAAACAAGGGTCTCCCACAGCTCATGTTCATGAGCCCTGCACCATACCCCCTGAACCTAACTCCCGCTCCTCAAAGAACCAAAGACGAGGGGCAGTGAAAGCAGCCAAGCCCCTTAGCACCATTCCTGAGCCTACCTTTGCCCAGCTTCCCGAGGCACCGCCTCACACTCCCCAGATGCCAGAGGAGGAGGCAGCAGATGGATCAGGCTTCACCCCAGAGCCCCAGCCTAAGGCCTCTCAAAACCGCAAGAGGCCTTCAGCTACTGCACATTCACCTCCACTTCAAAAACGGCTCCAGAGAGGGAAAGTTCCTCAGAAGGCAGCATCCCTTAAGGAAGAAGAAGAAAATCCAGCAGCGAGGCCGTGGAAGGAAGAGGTGAGGAGAGGGCTTGGGGCCACGAAGTTAGGAAGGGGCCTGGGGGCTCAGAAACTTCCACCAAGTTCTCTCTCAATCCCCCAGGGTGTAGTGAGTCCAGGTCCAGGCAAGAGAAAGAGAGAGCAGACAGAGGAGGAGTCTCAGGGAAGACCGAGCCGCAGCCTGCGACGGACCAAACCTATCCAGGAGTCCACGGCCCCCAAAGTAGGAGAGAAGGGCCATGGTGCCTCATGGGAGATGGAGATATGGGAGGATGGACGGAGACCCAGGGGATTTGGGGCAGGGGTGGTTGCTGTGCTGAGCTCAGGCTAACCCCCTTCACAGGTGCTCTTCACGGGCGTGGTGGATGCTCGCGGAGAGAGGACAGTGCTGGCCCTGGGGGGCAGTCTGGCTAGCTCAGTGGCTGAGGCTTCTCACCTGGTGACTGATCGGATCCGCCGGACGGTCAAGTTCCTGTGTGCCCTGGGCCGGGGCATCCCCATCCTCTCCCTGGCCTGGCTGCATGAGGTGAGAAGTCAGGAGATGGTGACAGACCCTCAGACGGTGACAGGAGAAGGCTGATCAGGTGGGGCTCTAAGAAGTGGTGGGAGGAGCGGGATACAGGAAGATGAGGTTAGTGAAGCAGAAGGCTTCATTCCGTGAGCTCCCTACTGTAAACTAGACTGAAGAGCTGGTGAAGGGCTGGCCTGAGCATTGGTGCTGACTGTTACCGTCCTTAGTCCCGCAAGGCAGGCTGCTTTTTGCCCCCGGACGAATATTTGGTGACTGATCCTGAGCAGGAGAAGAACTTCGGCTTCAGCCTTCGGGAGGCCCTGAGCCGAGCTCGGGAGCGAAGGCTGCTGGAGGTGAGGCTGTCTTCTGACCCACGGTTCAGCCATTTCCCAGCCATCCACAGCCTCTCAGTGCATCTCCTGTCTCCACTGTTTCCTCCCTCCTAGGGCTATGAGATTCACGTGACCCCCGGAGTCCAGCCACCGCCACCTCAGATGGGAGAAATCATCAACTGCTGTGGAGGCGCCATCCTACCCAGTATGCCCCGGTCCTACAAGGTAGGGGTGGTGTGCTGAGGGTCTGGAGAGGTGGCTGGGATGGGTTCAGGTGAGAGGAGATGGAAGTACAGCTGGCAGCACGGAGCAGTGAGAGGCTGGGGGAAGTCCTGTGGTACAGAAACGGGTGGAGAAGAGGGAAGAGGTCTGCTGATACCAAATGGACTTATTTTTTTTTATATTCACAGTCTTTTCAAATGTATACAAAGGGAACAATGCAGCAAGCCTCCGTATACCAATCACTCAGATTCAACAGACTCATTTAGATGTTGCTGCATTTGCTCTGTCGCTCCCTTTTTTCTTTTTCTTTCATTTTGTTCACTGAGATTGTTAAGGGAATCTGTAAACATCATTATTATTTTTTCCTACATACTTAAAATACACATTTGTAAGAAATATGCACATTTCTGGTATAATCACTATTGTGATTGGTCAATATTGGTTGCTATTGGTCAATAACAAAATCGACAGTTGTTTCCTGTCCCTTTGTCATAGTCCATTAATCAAATTTCTCCAGTCATCTGAAAGTCTCTTTTTGCAGTTCAAATAAAGATTCAAGCAAAGTCCATGTATTGCCACAATTGCTGTATCTCTTAATTCACTTTTAGTCTAGAGCATCCACCCCAACCCACCCAGCCTTTTTTCTGCCACCGACTTCCGGCAGAAACTAGGTCAGTTTTCCTTTAGAATGTCCTACGATCTGGATTTTCCTGTTTGCTCTCTTGTTATATTATTTACCTTGTTTTTCTATCTTCTGTATTTTCTGTAAATCATAGTTCATTTTAAAAGCTGAACAAATTCAGGTTCAACTTTCTGGCAAGTGTTCTGCATAGACAGTATGTGCCATGTGACTTCCTGTCGGGAGATATTGTTTTAGTGATGCTCAGAGTGATCAGTGAGTCCTGAACCTATTTCTTGGATTCTTTTTCACCCCTGACTTTCTCTTTTCGCTGTTTGTCTTTCTTCAGCCTCAGAGGGTCGTGATCACATGTTCCCAGGACTTCCCTCGATGTGCCATTCCACATCGGGTTGGGCTGCCCATCCTCTCACCCGAGTTCCTGCTGACGGGAGTACTCAAGCAGGAAGTCAAGCCAGAGGCCTTTGCCTTCTCCACTGTGGAAATGTCATCCACCTGAAAACCCCACCCTGGTACCCTTTTCCCTCCCAGACCAATACAGAAAATGTTAGAAATATTCAGAAGAAAGAATTTAGGGCTTTAGAGAAGATTGGGGTATCTGATCTGATTTGTCTTGGAACATGGGTGGGGCCAAAACAGGCCTTTTGGTAAACAAAGATAGGGAGATTGGGAGCCATGGACTTTCTTAAATGGCCATTTAAAGTTGGCCAATCCCAGGCTCAGATATCTTAAGTTGCTGCTCATATTTAGCTGGACTGATGTACCTATTGCTTTGTGTCACACACAGTGTCCTGCCTCCTGTTTGGAAGCCATTTATTTCTCCTCGTCTTTTCTTTCTGGGATTCTTACTCATCCTGCACAAGATAATGAAAACAATTTTAGCATCAGGAACTTGAAAAGATGCTTGGAGTGAGTAAGTTTGAGGGTGGAGTTATGGAACGCTCCTAAAATATTTTCCTTTCTCCTTACCCCATTTTGTTAGAAGCATCCTTTAGCTTTGACGTTGAGCTAATCTCTGCAATTTATTTTTTTTTGGCTTGCTTTTCAAATATTTATAAATTTAGAGCCTAGGCTTAATGTCTGTGATAATAAATATTCACTCTGTGCCTTATGGTATAGTGCAGTTTTATTTTGTAAATCTTAAAAGTTGGTTGACTATAAGGATTTGGGGAAATTAGAACCCATATACGTTGCTCATGGGAATGTAAAATGATTCATCCACTGTGGTAAGCAGTTTGACAGTTTCTCAAAAGTTAAATATAGAATTACCATATGATCCAGCAATTCTTCTCATAGATATACAGCTGAAAGAATTAAAACAGATGTTCAAATACTTCTGCACAAATGTTCATTCAACACTTTAGCAAGAGCCGAAAGATGAAAGCAAAAATGCTCATCAGCAGATGAATGGATAAACAAATTGTGGCATATCCATACAATGGAGTATTATATTCAGTCATAAAAGGGGATGAGGTACTAATTGTGCTACAGTATTTTGAGGATGAACCTCAAAAGCATTATGCTAAGTGAAAGAAGTCAGACATAAAAAGTCACATTGTTTAATTCCACCTGTTGGAAATACGCAGAATGGGTAAGTCCATAGAGACAATAGGCAGTGCTTGTCCAGGGCTGGCGGGGAGAAAAGATGGGGAGTAATTGCTTAACAGGTTCAGGGTTTTATTTTGGGGTGAAGAGAAAATGCTTTGGAACTAGATAGAGATGGTGGTTGCATAGATTATGAATGTACTAAATGCCACTGGACTGTTCTCTTTAAAATGGTTAAATTTTATGTTATGTGAATTTCACTTCAATTAAAAAAAATCTGATTGGTTTTGTGCACTTTTCTGCAGGTTAAGTTATACTTACGTTTGGGAAACTTTGGTGTAGTAGAAACAGCATTAGCTTTGCCAAACACTGTGCTAGCTTTTAAACATACTCAATCTTGCAACTTCCCTGGTGGTCCAGTGGTTAAGATCCCGTGTTCTCAATGCAGGGGGCATGGGTTCGATCCCTGGTCAGGGAACTAAGATCCCACATGCTGCTGGCCAAATAAAAACTACATTTAAAAAATTAAATAAACATATGCAACCTCACAGTGTATTTTAAGCACAGCCATTGTGGGTGTGGCCCACAGTAGGGCCTAGATAAATAGTCTCCTTGCCCTACCCAAAGGCTTGTACTGTCTGACGCCGTTTGAGTCCTTGAGGTTCTGGATTTCTTATAGCATCTGCTGCCTCTATAGCCCCACTTACCACTCATGTGCACATCCGCTTATGACTGGTAACATTTAAGGGCCCCAATTCAAATTTCTAGAGAAGAGATCGTTTCTTACACTGCCAATGAATCCTACAGCTCATACATAGTACATCGTATAATGTCAGTCCATCAGGATCTTAACAGAAAATGATGGCACAGTCAAATCAGGATAATTTGGAGAGAGTTTAATGAAGTGAACATTAGGAGGCAGAGTGTAGAGCAATCACAAAGAATATTGCAGTATCCCAGTACCTACAGCTCTGTTGTGACCACTTGTGAACCCAAAAGGTTTGCAAAGACGGAACAGTTATATAGAGAGGCTTCCCTCTAAAGCTGTGATGTTCTTTGATGAAGTACATTCAGGACAGCTTCCTGAGGCAGAAAGCAGGATGGAGAGTGAATCAGGAGGGGAAACGTGCTGTCTGGGCACAGTTCACAATAGCTTTGATTTAGAGGAGAATGGGAGTACTGAGCCTCTGGGAGGGGGAAGGAATGTAGAGCCTGTGGCATGCTGTTTGGCAATTTTGTCATCCCTGAGCCCACAGGACTAGCAGTTCCTATTTTAGGAAATTTTCTTTATCTCTTTAGGCCTATGTTTCCTCTATCATCTGAAAGAATTAGCTTAATTACCACTAAGGTCCTTACTAGCTTATGACTAGGTCCCTAGCTACATGATATTCAGTGGAGAAAAACCTTGCTTTTACTTTGATTTTTAGATGTGAATGTTCGTCAGTAGGTATCACAAATAGATTTGTAGGCAAACACTTTGGACAAAAGATCTTAGTGCTTTCTGACTAGTAAGTGGAGTTAAACTAATGAGGTTGCAGACTAAAGTCATTGGTAGTTAATTATCACAAGTTTGAATAAAATAAACCTGCTACAAAATTTACAACTATAACAGTTTTCTATCACAAATATTTTAACATATTGTTACGCTCATGGTTACAAAACAGTCACCTTTGGCATTATTAGAACCTGTCTTTCAGAGTTACAGACAAGTTCTCTGCCCTCGGCAAGTGGAAAGGCAACTTTATAATACATTACAGAATAAGCATTAATTTGTGGTAAAATAGTCACTCTTTTTTCACCTAACAAGCTGCAATGGGTGATTCAGAGCTTTTGGTTCTCAGCCTAGGTCAACAGTCTTCCGTTCTCTCACCGCTCATTACTAAAGTGTTAACTGAGGCTTTGTAACCTCTGACTCTGGCTGTGTTCAAGTCAAAGCTGTTAAAGGAAAAGGGGTTGGTTCATAACGCTGTTTCTGCAAGAACCCTGCAAGAGAGAAGTAGTCTTCATTTTAGATGCGAAAACTAACCCAGGTGCGATTCAACCCACGTGAATGACTGCACAACCTCTGCCCTTTTTATCCCTCACTCGGGATTCTAACATTCCCTTCTGTGACGCAGAGATCGCGGGCTGGGGAAAGGAACCCAGGGGACCAGCTCGGCTGCTGGGTGTGAGCGAGCCGCGCGCACGGCCGGAAACCCGGCGCAGGCGCGCGGGAGCCCCGCCCGCCCTGGGCAGGGTCCCAAGGCGGGAGGCGGGGCCGGGGCGGAGCCTGCGGCCGCGGGAATCCCAAACCCGCCCCTTTCCCCACCCCTCCACTTCTCGCCATGGCCCCTGCACTGCTCCTGGTCCCTGCTGCCCTCGCCTCTTTCATCCTGGCCTTTGGCACTGGAGTGGAGTTCGTACGCTTTACCTCCCTTCGGCCACTTCTTGGAAGAATCTCGGAGTCTGGCGGTCCGGGTGAGCGGGAGGGACGGAGGATGAGCTCTAGGGTAGGGAGGTGGAGCCGGAGCAGAGGGAGCGTGGGGCGGGGCTTGGAGACAAATGACAGGGGAAGTCCTGGAGAGGGAACTAGAGCCTTGAAAGCCGCCGAGACACGGCCGAGGAGACCGGAGGGCTAAATTAGGAGCTCTGGGATTAGCGGTTTGGAGAGGCGGGAGAGTGAGGACTGAGGGGAGGGAAAAGGCAATGAACAGAGTATTCTCAGGAAAGTGCTTCGTAGAGAGGACTATGGAGGGTGTTACAAAGAGGGAGCATTTGGAGAACCGATACAAGAAGGGCACTCCAGCCATGCCTTTCGTGACTGCCCAACAGTAATGTTCTTCCTCAGCTCTGAAAGAAGCATGGGGTTACGGGGAGAAACAGGGAATAGTAAAGTGAGGTGGGCAAAGCCTAGAGAGGAAGCGCTAAGGCTCTTGAAAGCATTAAGGGACATGGCCTGGGGTCCCCCAAAGAAGATGAAGGTAGAGAGTGTTTCCCACAGTCTTCTTGATCTTTTGTACCTTTTTCCAACTCCCACTAGATGCCCGCCAGGGATGGCTGGCTGCCCTGCAGGACCAAAGCATCCTTGTCCCGCTGGTTTGGGATCTGGGGCTCCTGCTACTGTTTGTGGGGCAGCACAGCCTCATGGCAACTGAGACTGTGAAGGCATGGATGTCCCGGTACTTCGGGGTCCTTCAGAGGTCACTGTACGTGGCATGCACTGCCCTGGCCTTACAGGTATGAAGCCCTGGCAGCTGAGTCCTCAAGGGAAAAGGTCTTAGGCTTCGGATAAAGTGTGGATTCAGGAGGAGAACTGAGGGTGTTCAGGACTAATAATCTCAGCTCCCGTTCCTCCACAGCACACATTCTCCTTTTTATCGAGAAGTATGTACTGCTTGTCACCCCTGAGCATGATGTGTGCATTCTCACATTTGCAGATTTGTTCATGGTGTCCCACTTGAGAGTGCCTTGTTAACACCTCTTCAGTCTTACCCTTTCTTCAGAAGCACTTCCCTAGATCTCAAGAGATGAAGAAGGCAATGGCACCCCACTCCAGTACTCTTGCCTGGAAAATCCCATGGACGGAGGAGCCTGGTAGGCTGTGGTCCATGGGGTCACTAAGAGTCAGACACAACTGAGCAACTTCACTTTCACTTTCACGCACTGGAGAAGGAAATGTCAACCCACTCCAGTGTTCTTGCCTGGAGAATCCCAGGAACGGGGGAGCCTGGTGGGCTGCCGTCTATGGGGTCGCACAGAGTCGGACACGACTGACGTGACTTAGCAGCAGCAGATCTCAAGAGAAAGCATCCCAGTTAGTACTCACCTGTCTTCTCAGTGGGTGCTTGGAATAGGCTATTTTGTGTGCCTATCTGGTCACTCTGATCCATTCTCTAAGTCCTCAGAGTGGAGACAAGTCATTCTTACATCCTTAGGACCCCACCCAGCACCCTGCACATGGTGAACATTCTCATGATAGAGGTGGGGAGTATAGCCGGCCAGCCTGGTGTGGGGGCAGCCCCTGGGTCTAGGTCTGTCAAGAGTGGGCTGCGGGGAAACCCAGTCCCTTATCCTTCCTCAGCTGGTGATGCGGTACTGGGAGCCCGTGCCCAGGGGTCCTGTGTTGTGGGAGGCTCGGGCTGAGCCATGGGCCACTTGGGTGCCCCTCCTCTGCTTTGTCCTCCACGTCATTTCCTGGCTCCTCATCTTCAGCATCCTTCTCGTCTTTGACTACGCAGAGCTCATGGGCCTGAAACAGGTGAGGCTTTCAGATCCCTACCCAAGACATCTGATCCTTTCTAGAATACCTCTTTCCCCTCCAAGGATGTCCCTCTGCCTTCCATTGTCTTCCACCTGCCTCTTGTTTTTGAGCCCCTCACCTCCTTTTCTTATAAGATACTCTTCCCCCAGCCCTCCCTCAAAGGCTAAGAATCATGGGCTTCTTGGGTCTGGGAAGGTTCATGGGCCAGAGAGGAGGGTCAGGGACTCAGTCTCAGAAGGGTGGTTCTCAGTCTGTTATAGAAGGAGGGTGCCCAGAAGGGGAGGAAAGAGGCAGCTAAGTTGCAACAAGGGCTTGTCTACATTTCTAAGCCATTCTCCCTCTGCTAGGTGTACTACCATGTGCTGGGGCTGGGCGAGCCTCTGGCCCTGAAGTCGCCCCGGGCCCTGAGACTCTTCTCCCACCTGCGCCACCCAGTGTGCGTGGAGCTGCTGACAGTGCTATGGGTGGTACCCACCCTGGGTACTGACCGCCTGCTCCTTGCTCTCCTCCTCACCCTCTACCTGGGCCTGGCTCATGGACTGGACCAGCAAGATCTCCGCTACCTCCGGGCCCAGCTACAAAGAAAACTCCACCTGCTTTCCCGACCCCAGGATGGGGAGGCCGAGTGAGGGGTTAACCCTAGTTGCAAGCCCTGTACTTCCTCTCCCCCTCCTATCCCAAATTCCTTTAACATCCAGGCCTTGGCTGCTTCAGACCAGAGGCCCAAATCCATGGACTGAAGGAGGCCCCTTGCTTGAGCCTCCACTCCTTGATTCCAACTCCATACTGAGTTTCAGCCATTGGACTTCAAGGGCCACTTCTCACCAGCCAGGAAGGAGTGGCGGAGAACTTATCTGTCTCCTCTCAGTGCAGGGCATGACCCTCCATTAACAATCTCCTCACCAAGAGAAGGGTCTGGCTTGACCACTCCCTTGGCCCTGTTACTACCCTCTGCGCCTCAGGGATCCTTTTCTCCACGTCCAGCTCCCTCCCAGGAGCTGGACCAAGGCCCACTGTCTGGCCTTTCCAGCTCCCTAGGCCCTCACCCCTGGGCTCCATCCTCCTGAAAAAGTTGAGGGGATTCTCCCACTCTAAGCTAAGGTGACTAAGGGCTCCCTGCTCTCCCAAGGAACTCGCGCTACAGGAAAATAAATTCAGTCTGGTTTTTCTACGTGTAGAATGCAGCCTGTCAGTGTCTCTCAAAGCTGCAGGGTTGGCTCTGGGAAAGACAGGCGAGTTACACTGGAGTCTGGGCATCGGCCGCGCCCTCTGGTGACCGCTGGGCGGCGGCCACTCCCCACGGACCCAGCCCTCCACCCCCTTCCCGGAGCACCCGGTCCCCCTTCCACCAAATCTCCCAGTTTCCTCGCTGCAGACCCGGGTGGGGGACGGGCTGAAACGGAAGACTGGGGCAACGGCTCGGGTAAGGGAGCGAGCTTCCGAAACCGTTGTCTTCCCAGCCCAGCTCCTGCCGCCGCCCCCTCCCCACGGGCCCCGCACGCGCCCCCACGGTAACAAAGGCTGGCCTGGGAAGGCAAAAGCGTGGGGAGGAGCGGCAGGAGATGGGAAGGGCGGGCCCGGCTCCGAACAGCTGCCGCTTCCTCCCCAAGTCCCTCGAGGGGTCTGAGTCACGGGCCGCCGCCCCGGGTTGGCGAGCTGGGGGTGGGGGTCTGGACACCTGGGTTGTCCAGGGTTACCGGGCGGGAGCCGCGTGAGAGGCCCTGGGTAAGGACCGCGGAGGGCCGGGGATCGCGGCGGGAAAAGAGGAGTCCTGGGGCCGAGGCCCCACGCGGGGGACAGGGGCAACGAGGCTCCGCCCCCGCGTCCGGCTCCGCCCCGCGCCCCCTTCCCTCTCCCCATTGTCCTCAGACAAAGCGGCGGCCGCCCCCCGCCCGGCCCCCTGTCTCAGTCTCCGTCCCTCCCCTCCTCCTCCCTTCCCCCCTCCCGCACCCCCCCCCTCCCCCCGGCTCCGGATCTCCCTCGATCCCTCTCTCCTCCTCTTCCTCTCTCCTCCTCTCCGGACGTCAGGCTCCTTCGCACCCCCTCCCCCGGGAGCCCCGCGGAGTGTGAGTTGACCCAGGGGCTTCAGACTTGGGGAGGGGGTGTCCCCTCCCTCCCGTCCCGGGCGCGGACCTCGGGCTGTCTCTCCTCTCTTTGTGCCGAGATTGCCCGTCAGTGCGGTCATAGCCGGGTGGGGACGGCTGGCGAGGTCGGGGTTCCATGAGCGCCAAGACCCCGGCGCTCGACTGGCCGGCTCCGGAGAGAAGCGGTGTGGAGCCGGTGCTCTGTACGCCTGGGGCGCTCGCTCGCCCGGGACCCCGGGGCATTGCCGGTGGGGGAGGCCGGCGGCGGGCCCCGGACCGGGTTAGGGTTGGTGGGGGGTGGACGCCAGGGTTCTGGGAACGCGCTGGCAGCTCTGATCGCTGGGTTCCGAAAGTCCCCGGGGGAGGGTATTTCCCCTGACCCGCCCCGGGGCGGAGTGCAGGGCGGAGGGGTGGGGGCTGGGGGGTCGGAGAGGCGTGGCTGGAGCGGAGCTGGAAGGGGAGCCCGAACCTCCGGGGCCCGCTCTGAGACTCGCCGGGCTGCAGCCGCCGAGCTCCCTCGCCCCTCTGCCCCCGATTCCCCCTTCTCCCCTGCACCTGTCCACTCCGCCCTCCCACCTTCCCGACACCTCTTCAGGTCCTACTGCCCCCTCTCCGACGGGGGTCCCGCTAACCTCGCTTCCCACTCCCGCCGCTCCTGGGGTAGCGGTCCGGCAACCTCTCTCGGATCCTGCCTCGCTCACCCCTAGCCTCTCTTCTCTCTTCTTCCTCGCGCCAACTTCTTTCGTTTTTCTCTCTTCTCACATCCCGGGGACTGTCTCTGATACCCAGTAACCTGTACCCACAAATCTGACTCCTGTCTCTTTGCCCTGAATCTCCACTCTTCCTCTCCACCCACCTCCCCCAACCCCATCACCTGGCTCTTAGTTTCCTCTTCACTTTCTCAGTTTTTCCCCTTTCTCTGACCGCCCCCCCCGCCCCCTTTCCCACTGTCCTCACCCTCAGCTCCTCTGTGTCCCACCTCTCCCCCCGACCCCCGCTTCTTCTCCCCCCTCCCATTCTCACCTCCTGGGCCCCTCTGGAGCCTCTCCTTCCTGTTCTCTGCCCCCCAGTATTCCCCCCACCTTCCCCAAGGCGACCATGGCCACCATCCCAGACTGGAAGCTACAGCTGCTAGCCCGGCGCCGGCAGGAAGAGGCAGCCGTTCGCGGGCGTGAGACGGCAGAGCGGGAGCGGCTGTCGCAGATGCCAGCCTGGAAGCGGGGCCTTCTGGAGCGCCGCCGGGCCAAGCTTGGTCTGTCTCCTGGGGAGCCTGGCCCTGCGCCTGGGACTACGGAGGCTGGACCTCCAAACCCAGATGAGTCTGCTGTCCTCCTGGAGGCCATTGGGCCCGTACATCAGAACCGATTTATCCGGCAAGAGCGCCAGCAGCAGCAACAGCAGCGGAGTGAAGAGCTACTCACGGAGAGACGGCCTGGACCTTTGGAGACCCGGGGGCGGAGACCCAGCCCCGGGGAGACACGGGATCCCAGCCCCAAGGGAAGAGAGTCCAGGGAAGAGCGGCTCAGCCCCAGGGAGGCCAGAGAGAAGAGGCTGGGGATAGGGGGAGCTCGAGAGTCGAGCCCCAGGCCTTTGGAGTCCCGGGACTGGAGGCAGAGCCCAGGAGAGGCTGGAGACAGGAGCTCCAGACTGTCAGAGGTGCGGAAATGGAGGCTGAGCCATGGAGACACTCCTGAGCGGAGTTTGAGACTGGCAGAGCCCCGAGAACAAAGCCCCAGGAGGACAGAGGCGGTGGACAGTAGACTGAGCCCAGAAGAGCCTGACAACCAGAAGCTGGGCCTGACAGAGTCCCGTAAATGGAGGCCTGACCCCAGAGAGTCTCAGGGACAGAGTTTGGGACAACTGGAGGCATCAGAGTGGAGGCCGAGCTCAGGAGAAGAAAGAAAAGACTGCTCAGAGGAATGGGGGAGAAAGGACGAGAGGCCGATTCCAAGGATGGTCCCAGAAGGGACCACAGCGTCGTCAGAGACCCCGACAAGGGAGGCTCCAGACAGTCACTCTGCAGGACCAGAGGGAGCAGAGCAAAGGCCCAGCCCCGTGGAGGATGGCGAGAGGGGCCTGCGGCCGACAGAAGGGTGGAAATGGACCCTGAACTCTGGAAAGGTCCGAGACTGGACACCCAGGGACACAGAGCCTCAGCCCCAGAAACCAGACACTCCAGAGTCTACCGAGAAGCACGTGGGTCCTTTGGGTGCAGAGGCTGGAGAAGGGGAGGCTGAGAAGGAGGAGGCGGGAACTCAGAGCAGGCCTCTGGGCGCCCTGCAGAACCGCTGCTCTACGCCCTCCCCCCTCTCCCCAGAGGACGCCGGGACTGGAGCCTCTAGACGGCAGGAAGAGGAAGCAGGGGAACTCCGGCCCCCACCAGCAGCCCCTCTGTCTCCCCCACCCCCAGCCCCACCTGCCCCCCAGTCCCTTGGGGATCCCCTCATGAGCCGGCTCTTCTATGGGGTGAAGGCAGGGCCAGGGGTGGGGGCCCCCCGCCGCAGCGGACACACCTTCACAGTCAACCCCCGGCGGTCCGCGCCCCCTGCAGCCCCCGCCACTTCAGCCACCCCAGCCACAGCTGACGCGGCGGTCCCCGGGGCTGGGAAGAAGCGGTACCCGACGGCCGAGGAGATCTTGGTTCTGGGGGGCTACCTCCGCCTCAGCCGCAGCTGCCTTGTCAAGGGGTCCCCTGAAAGGCACCACAAACAGGTAGGGAGCAGCCAACCCAGACTTTTTGGCCAGCCCACTCATCACTGCTTTGTGGACTCCTGTCTCTCTCCCTTTTTTCCTACCTCTGTATCCTTGTATCCTTGTCTATTCTTGTTCATTCCTGCTACCACCCTTCCTCCCCTGAACACACACCCTTCCTTCTTGTGGCCCTTCTTTTCCATTCATTTCCCAGCCCAAGGAGCCTGCTCCTCAATCAAGCTCGCTGTCCTGGGTGTGTCTCTCTCGGGGTGTGCCCGGGCTCCTCACTTCTTCTCTCCCTCAGGCTCTGAGCTCCCCCCACCCCATGCTTTCCATTCCCAAATCTGTGACCCAACCCAGCCCATCTGGGTGGGAGACCCGAGTTGAGGCCACAGCCTGGAGTCTATGCGGGCAGGGTCTGCAGGGCAAAAGTGGGCAAAGGAATGCCAGGGTAGGAAGCCTGGGGAGGCAGAGGGGGTGGCTTTGGGGTTTTAGGAAGAGATGGCAGGGAGAAGCGAGTGGAGGAACGTCTCACAGGCCCAAGGCAGGGGGAGGGGGTTGCAGAGCGGAGTGGGGACATCCTAGGATAGTGGGGGAGGGGAATGGAACAGGGGCTGGCCAAGGAGCAGAGAGAAGGCTTTTGAACCCCGAGTCTGCCCCATGGGAGAGACGCACACAGAGGCCATTTGAAGTGGGTGACCTCGGGGTTGCACACCCCCAGCTGGGCCACGGCTTCAGACAGTGCTCCCTTCTCTCTTGGGACAAGAAAAGCCTTCTCCTCTTCCAAAATACCCCCCCCACCCCTCCCTTCCAGTCCTTCCTCCCTGGGCGTCCCCTCCCTCCCCAGAACTGGCTCAGCAGTTGGTTTTCCCCTTTCTTCCTGCCATCCTGGCCTCTCCCTCCTCTTGGGGTAGAAAGAAAGAGAAGTGAATTTGGAGGCACTGTGCTGAGAGCAGAGAGCACAATGGGAGTCGAGGGCAGGGTTGGGGACCAGGGCCAGCAGAAGGTCAGAGGTTAAACTGGAAAAAAAGGCGGTGCAGGGAAGTTGGAAACAGCCAAGCTGACTTCTTCCCCTGGCGCTGGCCCAACTCCTGCCCCATACACCAGTTTCCAGCTTGAAAATCTGCAAGGAAATAGAAGTTCTGTATCTAACACATCTCCAGCCCTCATCCCGTGTGTGTCATCCTCAGATTGTTTTTCGTGTCCCCGGTGTCAGTGGGAAAGCACAAGGGTCGGGAGTCACTTGAGACCCCAGCTCATCTTCACATGAAGCTTAAGCTCCCATCCCAGAGCCCTGGCCCCTGTGTCTGTCCTGAGCTGACTGCTAGGTGACCCCTTTGCCTCCAGGCTGGGCAAGGAACTAGGTCAGGAACAGCCAGGATGAGATGTTCAGAGAAGTCACTTCCTACCGTAGAGGCTGTCTTGTGCCTCTGGGGAGGAACAAAGAGGGGAAGGCATGAAGTCTGGGGCCCAAAGGCCGGGGACTGAGTGCAGGGCAGGACCTGCGAGAGGGAGGGAGGTCCTAGGTCCTAGGTCAGGGAGCAGGGGGGGGCCGGAAGCAGATCGCCCAAACAGGAAGCCTGGGGTGGGGGCCGGAAGGCTGGTGGGCTGAGTGGCAAACACGGGGCCATGGGCCTGGCCAGAACTGAGCTCAGGATGTGGTGAGAGAATAAGGAAGCAGCTGCTTCGGGTGGGGGTGGGGAGGCAGCAGTGCAGAGTCCTCTGGGCCCAGACACTTTCCCCTCAGCTCCCCCTCAGGCCTTCTCCTCTCTCCCAGCACCCTGCTCATCAGGGACGGGCATGTCCAGCCCTGCCTATCAGATCAGGGGCAGGAGGACCCCGCCATCTAACACCACCCCCCCTTCCCTAAATAACTCCTGTTTGCAGGCTAATTCCATCAAACATCTCCCTGCCACTGGAGCCCAGGGGTTGGGCCGTGGCCCGTGCCCTTCCCCAGAGGCCCCTCTGGCAGGGAGGTCAGCCCCTCCTCTCTCCAGCCCCCTCGTGACCTTATATAGCTGATGAGAGAGGAGTGAGTCACCCCGTCTGTACCACCCCCCCAAACACACACACCCCATGAAGGCTGTGCATTCCTGAGAAGCCCTGTCAGAAGTTGGGGGGGTGGTGAGGAGAGAAGCAGGGTTGGGGGAGAGACAAACATGGACAGAGTGCAAATAAAATGGCTCCTTTAACCAGGGTGGATAATAAACTACAGAGCTCATTATCTCAAAAAGGTGACATGAAAAGAAAACAGAAGTGGGTTCCCAGAAGTTTGAGTAAATCTGTCAGCAGTAGACGTGGTTCCTTTGGAGAAGTTAGGATATAAGGGGTCTGGTTCCTGTCACTCAGTTCTACCAGCTGACTGTTCCACAGATGCGGACTGGGGGTCGTCTGTGTACAGGCTGCACCGCCCCCCCGCCCCGCAAGAGTGCTCCCCCAGTGTTGGTCTTCTGTTGGGATGCCATCTGACGTCTGGGTGAATGGAGCCTTCCTTACCCATTGAAGCGACTTCCATGCTTCTATTGACAGCAGACAAAAATAAGTAACCAAATATGTAAATCCTCTGGTAGGTTAGGGCTTCCCTGGTGGTTCAAATGGTAAAGAATCTGCCTGCAATGCAGGAGACCTGGGTTCAATCCCTGGATCGGGAAGATCCCCTGGAGAAGGAAATGGCAACTGACTCTAGTATTCTTACCTGGAAAATTCCATGGACAGAGGAGCCTGGTGGGTTACAGTTCATGGAGTTGCAAAGAGTTGGACAGGACTGAGCGACTAACTTTCTTTTTGGTAGGTTAGGTTAAAAGGTGGTTAAGTGATTATGGGAAAAAATTAGGACAGGGACAAATGGAACTTTGAGGGCCAGATGGTAGGAGGAGCAAATATGACTTTATAATAGCATGATCCATAGGGAGGGAGCCACAGCAATATTTGGGGGAAGAGCATTCCAAGCTCAGGGAACAGCCAGTGCAAAGGCCCTGAGGTAGGAATGCCTGGGGGTGGGACTGGAGGAAATCACAGCCCATGTGGCTGGAGTGGAGGAGGGTGCACAGTGTTGAGTGGGGAGCGGCACATTGGAGCCCCTCCAAGGCCTTGGCCAGGTTCTGGCTTTTGTTCCCAGAGAGGTAGGCCTGTGCCAGGTTTGGACCCAGAGAGTGACACACACGTGTCTCTGAGTTCTTGCTTCCCATGGGGACCCAGGTGTTAGCAACCACCTGTCCAGCCACCATCCTGGTTTCTCTCTTCTCATACGCCAGTCCATGCAGAGACTCAGGGATGCAGGGCCCCCAGTCCCCGGTTTCCCCAGCGGATGCTAGAGAAGGCCCTAGGAGATCCTCTGGACCTTTCCAAGCAGTTCATATGGAATCCTCCTGTTTGTCTCCTTAATCGCTTTGGCTCCCAGAGTTAATCCCACCCTGCCCCTTCCCGGTGAGCTTCTTAGGAGGGCAGAGGGGAAGGGTAAAAAGGTAGTGAGAACAGCTGGGGCTTGCCGGCTCTTGCGCCAGTATGTTTACGAGGATTTTCTGCCCCCTCCAGATTCCTTCTGCTCGCCTGTCTCTGTCACCGCACGTCCCTTCTGGTGCACTCCCCACCCCCATCGCGTGTTTGCCTGGACTTTCCTCTCTGCCCTGTCACCTCCCCCGCAGCTGCCGCTTTCAGGGACTTGGGCTTATCATCTCCCTGGGTTTTGGGGGACAGTCTCCTTTCCTCTGGCTTTTCTGTTGGTCTCCGCCCCCCTGACAGAGCCAAGACCCTTTCCTGGGGGTCCATTCCAGCTACAGGAGAGGAGTGAGTGGGGTGGGAGGGGCTGGTGTTCAGGGTCCTGGGTTCTCCCCGGAACTGCAAGGGACCAAGGCCCTGGAAACCAGTGTGCCTGTCTTGGCTTTTGCCTGCAACTCCCTCCCAGCCAGCTCCTTCCTGCCCAGGAGACTCAGTTCTCACCTCCCCTGGGGAGCCCCCCTGATTGCTCCCAGGGTGCCCAAAGACTCAGTTCTGATCACAGGACTTATTTCCAGGTTTTAAATTTCTCTTTACCTTTCCACCTCCCACACTCTAAAAGCAAAAACCTTGATCCTGGGTTCCTCACTCCTGCCACCCAGGCCCCTGCCAAAGCTCAGGCCAAAGTCAATGTTTTTCAAACGATATGATTGAAGAGGGGAAATCTGGGATTGGCCAGCGAGTACCAAAAGGAAAACTGGCTTCCAGAGTGGTTAGGGCGGGCAAAGTCAGCAAACCCAGTCCCCACTCCCCGTGGTCCTGCACCTGTCACCCTGCGGTCTGACCTCGCCTCCTCCCCGCTTTCTCTCCCACCCTCAGCTCAAGATCTCCTTCAGCGAGACAGCCCTGGAGACCACGTATCAATATCCCTCCGAGAGTTCGGTGCTAGAAGAGCTGGGCCCGGAGCCTGAGGCCCCCAGCGCCCCCAGTCCCCCAGCGGCCCAAGCCGACGACGAAGAGGAGGAGGAGGAGCTGTTGCTGCAGCCAGAGCTTCAGGGCGGGCTGCGCACCAAGGCCCTGATAGTGGGTGAGCGCAGACTTCGCCGGCCCGTTGGCGCCGCCTGCTGGTCGGAGAGGGCACTGCGGTTCAGGAGGAAGGGGGATTTAATGTTGGCGCTTGGAAGGGGCGTGGCGGGGACTCTAGCCCAACAGCTCCTTCAGTTCAGTTCAGTCTCTCAGTCGTGTCCGACTCTGCTACCCCATCGACTGCAGCACGCCAGGCGTCCCTGTGCATCACCAACTCCCTGAGTTTACTCAAACTCATGTTCATTGAGTCGGTGATGCCGTCTCCTTCTCCTCCCACCTTCAATCTTTCCCAGCATCAGGGTCTTTTCAGATGAGTCAGTTCTTCACATCAGGGGGCCAAAGTATTGGAGTTTCAGCTTCAACATCAGTCCTTCCAATGAATATTCAGGACTGATTCCTTTAGGATGGACTGGTTGGATCTTCTTGCAGTCCAAGGGCCTCTCAAGAGTTTTCTTCAACACCACAGTTCAAAAATATCAATTCTTCAGTGCTCAGCTTTCTTTACAGTCCAACTCTCACATCCATACATAACTGCTGGAAAAACCATAGCCTTGACTAGATGGACCTTTGTTGGCAAAGTAATGTCTCCACTTTTTAATGTGCTGTCTAGGTTGGTCATAGCTTTTCTTCCAAGGAGCAAGCATCCTTTAATTTCATGGCTGCAGTCACCATCTGCAGTAATTTTGAAACTCCAGAAAATAATGTCTGTCACTCTTTCCATTGTTTCCCCATCTATTTGCCATGAAGTAATGGGACCAGATGCCATGATCTTAGTTTCCTGGATGTTGAGCTTTAAGCCAACTTTTTCACTCTCCTCTTTCACAGTTCCTTTTAACAGATGGGAAAACTGAGGTCCTGAGAAGCGAAAGGCACATAAGATCTCCACACTTCTAAACCAGGACTCTTTCTGAGTGCTCTAGAGTGGTTAACACGGGATTTGGATCAGACAGGCCTGAGTTTGAATTCCATCTTGTCTCTTACTTTGTGGTGTTACATCAGGGTAACCGCCTGACCTCTAGCCTCAGTTTATTATTTCTGAAATGAGGTTAATAATAACCACCTCTTGGAATTGTTGAGAGGGTTAAGAACTTTTTGGAAGCACTTAGGAACAATGGCTGGACATTGATAACTTAACGTCTCCTGGGGTTATTGCAAGATTAAACAAGTTATGAGAATGGCTGGCAGAGAATCCCGGCTAAATGAAATGAGTGATAGCTGCTGTTACTAGTAGTAGCAATAGGCACTCTGGATGTGGGAGAGGTTATAAGATTTTCTGCATGCCAGCTGGCCTTGAGTGTGGGGAGTGTGTGGGGAGGCGGGAGGCAGAGACCCTCTCTCATCCTCTATCCTTGCTGCCTCCTCTCCCACAGATGAGTCTTGCCGGAGGTGACCCTCTTCCAACACGGAGATACACCTCCCTCCTTCCCGGAACTGAAGATTCTGGAGCCCAGAAGGTTCAGAGCAGACAGACAGACCCTCAACATGAGCCTGGCAGGGAAGGGCAACGAACATCTTCCACCTTGCATTCCTTTTCCTGTTTCTTGGGGCAGAGGCAACCACTCAGTTTCCACCCTCCTCAGACACGCTGCTGCCTCCTAGGTGATCCGAGATCCCCATCCAGTCCTGGGGAGGAGCTCAGAACTCACAGGGCGGGGGGGGTAGAGATGGAGCACCCTTGCCATCTCCATGGGCAGGGTACCCTCTCCTCGACTCCCTACCACCCTCTGGCGGCTCCCCCATCTGCCTGGGAGACCCAGTCCCCCTGCATTTACAGCACCTCTCCCTCCTGTTCCTTAGGTCCCTGCCCCTTTGTTTACAGTTCCTGCTGCTTCTCTTGACTACAGCCTGGTTTACAGCCCCCTACCCCCGCCATCCCCAGCCCCACCTGCCAAAGTCCTGGGTTTACAAGCCACGCCTACTTGCGTGTCCATGTAGAATCTCCTTCCCTGTCCTCTGAAGTCCCTGCTCTGGGGGGACCTGGGGCATGGCTTCTTCCACTTTTGCTCAGTATTACCGTGTCTCACTTTCCCCCAGGAGGGAAGGCTGGGAATGTTAACTCTGTATCCCCCTCTAGTTATTTAATTCTGTTCCTCCTGGTGGTTCACAATTGAATTGAATTATGAAGGTGTGGGGTGAGTCATGAGGGACCTCAACTCTTCCCCCTGTGTCTCCTTCCTTCTCAATTGCCTCGGTTTTTATTTTTGTTTTTTTTTTATTTTCTATAATAAAATGGAGCTCTATCCGACTCTCCTGCTGCTTCTCTTTCTTTTGAAAAAGGGAATGGGGGTGGGGGAATGGAGGTGGGGGTGGGATGGAGTGGGTTCTGGGTTCCTCATTCCAGGCCTCTCTCGCCTTCTTACTAGCCGTAAAGAGGAAGCAGCCATGGCTGTGGGAGGGGAAAATATGACAGGGAGCCAGAAACTCAGCACTGACCATGGAGAAAGGGTTCTGGGAGAAGCTGGCACTGGTTTCTCCGAGGACCAGCGGGAGAGGGACTGGGGATTTTTTGTTGTTGCTTTGATTTAGTTTTGTTCTTGTTGTGCCTCTCAGCTTGCGGCATCTCAGTTCCCCAACCAGGGACTCATCCTGGGCCTCCGTGATGAAATCACCAAATCCTAACCACTAGACCACCAGGGAATTCCCTGTTTTGTTTTCTCTCTCTCTTTTTTAATTAAATTAAAAAATTTTTGGACTTCCCTGGTGGTCCAGTGGTTAAGAATCTGCCTGCCAATGCAGGGGACACAGGTTTGATCTCTGCTTCAGAAGATGCCACCTGCTGCAGGGCAACTAGGTGGTGTTCCACAGATACTGAGCCTGGGTACCTAGAGTCCGTGCTCTGAAACGAGAAAAGCCACCACAGTGAGAAGCTCTCCTGCCCACCTCAGCAAAGAGTAGCCCCCACATGCCACAATTAGAGAAAGTTCATGTGCATTGAAGACCTGGTGCAGCCAAAAATAAATAAATTATTTTAAATGATTAAAAAAATAATTTTTTTTTAAAATAATTTTTTAAATTAATTTCTTTTTTTTTTAAGCCTAGGGCTGGTTTGAGGAAGGACAGTTGAAGCATCCACCACACTAGACACACCATGAGGACAAATGGTCGGTTGGGTTCACTGCAGCATCCCCATGCCTGGCACCTGATAGACACACACAATTATTTTTAGAATGAATGAAAAAATGAGCAGATGAAAAGAGATAAGAATTTGGAAGCAAAGGACACTGAATTGAAGGATTCCGGTATTCAGAAGCCTAGTGCAAGGCAAGCAACCAGAGAGTATATGATTAGTAGTGGCTAATCCAGCGGATTTCACTCCAAGACTCAAGACCGTAAGTAATAAATCTCTTGAAACTGCTGCAAAATAGTACACAGGGGCAGATTCCTGAAAAGGGTCTCCTCTGATAGACAACTGGTTTTACATTCCTAAAGTTTTAAGAACCATAGATAATTCATGGCTTTGTGGCCCAAATATAGTTGGCACTGGGACACTTTCCCGTTTCAGTGAATTTGTATCTTCTACATGTGGAATATTTACATTGTACTTATCAGGTTACTTTTTTTTTTTTTCAGTTCTCCAGGCTAATAAAGATATGGCAGATATAGTCCTATCACTAGAGGAAGGTCCTCCTTTATTAAAACCAAAATGTATTAGAAAAACTGATCTTAAATACATGCTAAATATGTTCCCAGCAAGGGAATAAGCAAGGTGTCAAAAGAATAAGCCACTTCAGAGAGGGTGTGAGTATGGAGGGAGAGTACTCACATTAGTAGCTAATTAGGTAAAGACCCTAATTAGTTTTGACCCAGGAAAGCAGAAGTAAGAAGCTCTGAAATGCCAGGTGTGTTCACAGTACACTTCAGAAACAGAAAACAGTGCATTCATGACGTCAATGATGTGGAGGTACTTGTGGCTGTTAGTTGGAATAACAAGTGTTTAGTTTCCCAACACAGTGTCAGGTAAATCCAATTAATTGTAAAAGTATGAAGCAGAATCAGAGGTCAGACAGTAGTCAAGCAACAAGTTCTGCTTATTTAAAATTGAGCAGCCACCAGTGACTTTCTCAAGCTGTTAGCAAAAAAAAAAAAAAAACCCAGAATACAATTTGCATATTTCTTAGTTTGCAGATCTTTTATTTTTTTATTTTTTCAGATCTTTCAAAATAACAAAAAAACAAAAACAAAACAAAATTTAAAAAAATAAAATAACATTATGAGATAGCACCAAGAAGAGAGGGTACCTTTGCTTTTTCTCCACATCCTGAGTTTTCATCTGCCTGGAATCCTCGAGTAAGCCTAACCTGTATTCACTTCTTGCAGAAGGTACCTGTCCTAGCAAAGGTCACTCCTAATCAGTTGATCTGTAACAAGCATGGATCTGATCTTCTAATTTGAGCGCCCCACCCCACAAGCGCACACATGCAGGCACACACACACACACACACCTTGCATTATTTTTGGCTCCATATAAGTTAGCATTTTATATTATTATGTATTTTGTCTCTGCAGGTTGGTCCCCACCCCCAACCCTCTGCCACTGTAAATTCGGTAAGGGATTTGTTTCTGATTTGTTCTTTGCTATATCCCTGGGTACTGAAACTGTGCCTGGCCCACATTGAAAGTGTTGGTCACTCAGTTATGTCCTACTCTTTGTGACTCCATGGACTGTAGTCGGCCAGGTCCCTCTGTCCATAGAATTCTCCAGGCAAGAATACTGGAGTGAGCTACCATTTACTCCTCCAAGGGGTTCTTTCCCACCTAGTGATCAAACCCAGGTCTCCTGCATTGTAAGCAGATTCTTTCCTACCTGAGCCACCAGGCACAGTAGGTTCTCAATATAGTTGAATGAAATGAGTGAGTGTAATACTCAAGAAAATTAGAGCTATCAAGGGAATATTTCATGCAAAGATGGGTTCAATAAAGGACAGAAATGGTATGGACCTAACAGAAGAAGAAGATATTAAGAAGAGGTGGCAAGAATACACAGAAGAACTGTACAAAAAAGATTTCATGACCCAGATAATCATGATGGTGTGATCACTCACCTAGAGCCAGACATCCTGGAATGTGAAGTCAGGTGGGCCTTAGAAAGCATCACTATGAACAAAGCTAGTGGAGGTGATGGAATTCCAGTTGAGCTATTTCAAATCCTGAAAGATGATGCTGTGAAAGTGCTGCACTCAATATGCCAGCAAATTTGGAAAACTCAGTGGTGGCCACAGGACTGGAAATGGTCAGTTTTCATTCCAATCCCAAAGAAAGGCAATGCCAAAGAATGCTCAAACTACCGCACAATTGCACTCATCTCACACGTTAGTAAAGTAATGCTCAAAATTCTCCCAGCCAGGCTTCAGCAATACGTGAACTGAGAACTTGCAGATGTTCAACCTGGTTTTAGAAAAGGCAGAGGAGCCAGATATCAAATTGCCAACATCCGCTGGATCACTGAAGAAGCAAGAGAGTTCCAGACAAAGCATCTATTTCTGCTTTATTGACTATGCCAAAGCCTTTGACTGTGTGGATCACAACAAACTGTGGAAAATTCTTCAGGAGATGGGAATACCAGACCACCTGACCCACCTCTTGAGAAACCTATATGCAGGTCAGGAAGCAACAGTTAGTACTGGACATGGACCAACAGACTGGTTCCAAATAGGAAAAGGAATACATCAAGGCTGTATATTGTCACCCTGCTTATTTAACTTATATGCAGAGTACATCATGAGAAACGCAGGGCTGGAGGAAGCACAAGCTGGAATCAAGATTGCTGGGAGAAATATTAATAACTTCAGATATGCAGATGACACCACCCTTCTGGCAGAAAGTGAAGAGGAACTAAAAAGGCTCTTGAGGAAAGTGAAAGAAGAGAGTGAAAAAGTTGGCTTGAAGCTCAACATTCAGAAAACTAAGATCATGGCATCTGGTCCCATCACTTCATGGCAAATAGATGGGGAGACAGTGGAAACAGTGTCAGACTTTATTTTGGGGGACTCCAAAATCACTGCAGATGGTGACTGCAGCCATGAAATTAAAAGACACTTACTCCTTGGAAGGAAAGTTATGACCAACCTAGACAGCATATTAAAAAGCAGAGAGATTACTTTGCCAACAAAGGTCCGTCTAGTCAAGGCTATGGTTTTTTCAGTGCTCATGTATGGATGTGAGAGTTGGACTGTGAGGAAAGCTGAGCGCCGAAAAATTCATGCATTAGAACTGTGGTGTTGGAGAAGACTCCAGAGTCCCTTGGACTGCAAGGAGATCCAACCAGTCCATCCTAAAGGAGATCAGTCCTGGGTGTTCATTGGAAGGACTGATGCTGAAGCTGAAACTCCAATACTTTGGCCACCTCATGCGAAGAGTTGACTCATTGGAAAAGACCCTGATGTTGGGAGG